CAGCAATAATCACAAATCCTGACGAGGATTTCTTAATGAATACGCAAGGGCATATCGCATTGTTGACGTAATCTTTACTCAACAAATATTCACTTAAGCGATTATACCACATGCGTCCGGACTGTTTTAGTCCATAAAGTGATCGCTGTAATCTGACCGAACAGATCTCCTTAGCCTTTGATTTCAAATCCTCAGGCATTTTTAACCTTCTGGGATTTTCATATATATCTCATTTTCAAGAGATCCATATAGATATGCTGTCACAACATCCATGAGATACATTTCAAGATTTTGAGACGCTGCTAAGCTCATCAAAAATCTGAATGTTATGGCATCCATTACTGGGGAATATGTTTCTTCATAATCAATTCCCGGTCTTTGAGAAAAACCTTGAGCCACAAGTCGGGCTTTATATCTTGTGACCTCATTTTTCTCATTTCTTTTTCTTACAAAAACCCATTTGTGCCCGACGGGTTTTGTATTCTCAGGAGTTGTGACAATAGGTCCAAAAACACTTCTTTTATTGAGGGAGAGTAATTCAGCTTGGATGGCCATTTTCCATTTCTCCCAATCAGGTCTTTTCAGACACTCTGATATTGTTTCTGGATCTGGATCATCACTTTCATGATCAATTCTTTGTATACAGAAAAAGAGAATATTCCATCATCATCTTCTATTTCATTTCTTGTCCATACTTTTCCATTTTGGGCGAAGTTGATGGAAATCTCAAATTTTTCTGTATCATGTTCGTCTTCTGGACGAATCTCTTTCTCTGGTTCTTCAAAAACCATTTTGTTTATGTCTTCTAGACATATTTCTTTACAAGGTTCTTCTAACCTTTTCTCCCAAATTCTTTTTCTTTCGGGGATTTTTATCTTTAGAGCCCATCGGCCTCCCCCTCTTTAATTGGACTTTGGGTGCATTTGCTATGCTTCCATCATTTTGTTCCTTAGAACATCTATCTTTGATGGAACGTTTGCAGCGGGTATATATGATTTCGTCACTCTTTTTGTATCTGTGAACGCGTCTGGTAATTGATTTGCCATATTTTGTAAATGTATAATTTTCTGAACTTCCAATTCGCGTTGTTTTGTCGGGGGATCAAAGTGTAACAAATTCGGTGTACACCATGTGAGGTCTTTTGGAACCTCTTTAATTCCTCCCCCTAACGCTGGAAATTCATCTTCATTAAAATGGCAATCGGCAAAACGTGCCGTAAACATATCACCAGTTTGAGGTTCAAGATACCGAATAATACTCGGTGACGTATACCCAACGTATATTCCCAATCTCCTTTGTGGCCCCATTTTTGTTCTTTGTGGCGGTGCTATCGGAACATAAACCGCACAACCAAAAACACGGAGATGGGATACGTTTGGCTCCTGACCAGATGCCAATTGCAATGGGGAATATATATTATAAGCACTTGGTCGTATTTGGAGCAACGCTGCAGCATGCAAAATAGCATGACCCCATATAGAAATTGGGAGTTTTGTTCTCATTATTAACGGTCTTGCAATCAGTTGCAACCGTTTAATCAAAGACTCAGCCATGCCATTTTGTGTATGGACATGTGGAACCGGATGCTCAACATCGATTCCCAATGACATGCAATAGTCATTAAAGGCTGTGAAGTGAATTCACCAGCGTTATCTAATCTCACTTTCTTAATAGTATAATCAGGGAACTGTGCTCTCAACCTGATTATTTGGGCAATGAATCTTGCGAAAGCCGTATTTCGTGTTGTCAAAAGACACACATGTGACCATCTACTTGATGCGTCAATTAATACCATAAAGTATTGAAACGGTCCGCATGGTGGGTGAATAGGCCCACATATATCACCGTGTATTCTCTCTAAGAACACAGGGGATTCATTTCCAACTTTCGCTGGTGAAGGCCGAGTTATGAGTTTTCCTTGAGAACATGCATTACATATGAACTCGCCCGTTTCTAAAATTTTCCCGTATTTCAACGGATGGCCATTTGAGTTTTGCACAATTTTTCTCATCATGACTGAACCTGGATGCCCTAGCCTTTCATGCCAGATTTTGAATGTACTAGTAAACTTCGGGTTTACTGTAACATATGATTCAGTCAGAGTAATATTTGTGCAATATAATCCGGAGGACATCATTTTCAACTCTTCCAATATTTGTCCCTCCGATTTGATGCAAAGGATTTCAATGCCATTCTTATTTATAGTCTCTATGTGATATCCATTTTTACGGATATCTTTGAAACTCAATAAGTTTCTATAAGACTTCGGGGAATATAATGCATCATTTATTTCAAACTTTGTTCCCCTTGGCATTGAAAAATTGGCTCTTCCAGAGCCCAATATTATTTTTGCACCACCAGAAATGGTATTCACGCTTTCAACGGAATCTTTAATTTTGAGACCGGAGAAATATCTTTTATCTTTGAGTATTGTGTGCGTTGTAGCACTGTCTGCAAGACACATATCTCCATCACGAGTCTCAAATTTCGTCATTTCTGGATTTAACAAAGATGCATTAATAAGTATTAAACAATACAAAGCTTATATCACAAGATACAAAATACCACATTAAAAACTATTTTACAACAAAAAGATCAAACTTTTAGGTTATCTTATTCAGGAAGATAACTATGTATATCATGTCCTTTTAGTCGTCTGTTTTTCCGTTGATCTCTTCGGAGTCAACCAGAAAATCTGAAACATCAAGATGAGTATCATCGTTTAGGCCGTGAAAGGAAGGACCGGGTTCATTGGAGATGAAGTTAGTCTCACTTTCTTTCTCCTTTGCTTTTTGTGATTCCCGGTACAGATCGGCTAAGTGTCTGGGTGTACGACAAGTACGCTCCCAGTGATTTTTCATGCCGCATCTGTAGCAAACACTTTCTTTTTGCTTTTTAGAATCTCGGCCGTAATCATTTGCTCGAGATCTTTTATATTCCTTTCATTGTTGGACTCGTCGGGACGGTACTCTTTTCCTTGTCCCCGACCACGTCCACGGCCACGGCCACGACCTCGGTTTCGACCATATCCACGTCCACGTCCTCGTCCATTATTTTGGCTGGACGATGCTACATTCGCTTCTGGGAATGGAGCAGCTCCAGTGGGACGAGTCTGATGGTTCATCATCACAAGCTCGTTATTCTGTTCTGCAACAAGGAGAACATCCATCAATTTTGAATAACGAGTATAGCCATTTGCCCGATATTGTTGTTGCAGGACTATATTTCCAGGGTGAAATGTGGAGAGCGTTTTTTCAATCATATCATAATCGCTCACATTTTCTCCACATAGCACCATCTTGGAAATTATTCTGAACAAGGCAGAATTATATTCAACAACACTTTTATAGTCCTGAAACCGGAGATATAGCCACTGGTATTTGGCTTTGGGCAAATCTATATATTTTTGATGGTCAAATCTTTCTTTCAAAGATTGCCAAAGATCCGCAGGATCTTCTTTAGTGATGTATTCATCTTTTAAACCATCGTGGATGTGATGAAGTAGAAAGATCATGGCTTTCGCCTTTTTCTCATCGGATGTCTTTTTCGACTTGTCAATGGCATCAAGAAGCCCATTTCCTTTTAGATGCATTTTTGCACCTATTGCCCATGTCATATAATTGTTTCCAGAAATATCAAGGGCGGAAATTTCGAGCTTAGCCAAATTTGACATGATATCTGCATAGATCATATACATTCATTAAATATAAATTCAAATTCGTAATAAAAATTTGAGCATTATAACAGCATAATTTAGTAAAAATTAAGGTGCTGAATTTAAATTGCAAAGTAAATAGCAGAAATTTAATGGCAAAAAGTAAATAGCGAAAAAGTAAATTACAGAAAAGTAAATATTCAGGAGGAGGCAAAGTCTCAACTCCAAGAGGAGGTTTTTACATCAACTCTTATATGATCTAAGGTGACATAGTCTACCATATGATCATTTGCTCGGAGTAGGTACAACCTAGCATCCCGGCATATAAATAAAATGAATAGACAAATATAAGAGCAGTTCGTGCTGATAACGTGTTAAGAAACTAAACTGTACCACTATATATTATGTATAGTGGATTGATTAATAAAGAACAAGAAGATGTGAGAGAGAGGGAGAGAGAGAGATTTACTATATGAGAAAGATGGTGGTTGGTTTCGTATGTGGGAGAGGAAGTTATTGTACGTGAGAGAATGAAGAGAGAAGTATAGAGTTTCTTTTGTATTGAACTTTATATTTCAATTAGTAACTGAGTACACATATTTATTTATACTAGAGGAGAATTAATAGAATAATGACTATAGCGGTGGATATAAGACGGTGAAAAAACTTACCCTATAAATAAGTAATAAAATATTCATTAGAGAATAATTATCCTTTCTAACAGTTATAAATTTCTTCTATTTTTCATTTTTTCTCTATCTCATCCATCATAATTATATCCTTTTTTTTGTATGTTTATCATTTAATATTTCGTTTTAAACAAAATCGAATATGATCCCAAATAAAAAAATGTATTAATCTTTTCTTTCTCTTTCCTTAGATTATTGAGTTTCATTTTCTTTAATACAAAATCAATTTCTAGTCAGCACCATTAACGCGTTTCTTTCTCCGCGTCGAGAAGAAAGAAATTATTAAAATCAAAAGAATCTCCGAAGCAAGAAAGAAGGAGAAAGCTCGATTCAGATATGCACTTGCTGTCGTCGTCTTCTTCTCCTCCACCGGAAAATTCGCGAGACAGACATTCTCTCGCTTTCTTACTACCAAACAAAACAGGAGCAAGAACAACATCAAATTCTTAAAGTTAGTGTCTTCCTTAACTTACCCATTTCTCATACAAGCTATAAAAAAAACCAACTTCATGATTCAGATTTGCTCTTGCAGGTTAAAGTTCGTAGCTTTAAGCTCTGTTTCCGATTGCTACAAGTTCTTAGCTACAGCAAATTCATGAAAGATTGTGTTTTTGAGTAAAGGGTTATAAGATTTGAGATTGTTCTAAGTTGCTGTAATGGCGTCTAGAGAAGGAAAGAGGCGTAATCATCATAATCATAATCATGAGAATCTTGTGCCACTTGCTGCTCTGATTAGCAGAGAGACGAAAGCTGCTAAGATGGAGAAACCGTTTGTGAGATACGGACAAGCTGCTCAATCTAGGAAAGGCGAAGATTACTTCTTGATCAAGACTGATAGTCTTCGTGTCCCTTCCAGTTCTTCAACTGCTTTCTCTGTCTTTGCGGTAACCAAGAAAGCTGAAATCTGAAACCTTTTGATACATTTAGTAGCTTATTTCTGTATCCTAAGATATGAAATGTTACTCCTTTTTTGCATATGAGCTCTTTAATTTGAGTATTGAAGTCTGAGGACAACCAAAATGCTTATTTGTCAAGTCTTGGGGTCTAAAAGTCAATTCTGATCCTCATTGTCTGATTGTTCACTTATTTATGTATCTAAGATATGAAATGTTACTCCTTTTTTGCATAGAGCTCTTGAATTTGAGTATTCTTGAAGTCTCAGGACAATCATGATGCAAATTTACAAAGTCTTGGGGTCTAAAAATCAATATTGATCCTCACTGTCTGATTGTTTCACTTATTTCTGTAACTAAGATATGAAAGGTTACTCCTTTTTTGCATATGAGTTCTTGAATTTGAGTATTCTTGAAGTCTCAGGACAATCATGATGCAAATTTACAAAGTCTTGGGGTCTAAAAATCAATCTTGATCCTCACTGTCTGATTGTTCACTTATTTCTGTATCTAAGATATGAAATGTTACTCCTTTTTTGCATATGAGCTCCTGAATTTGAGTATTCTTGATGTCTCAGGACAATCATAATTGGGGTCCAAAAGTCAATCTTGATCCTCACTGTCTGATTTGTGTTTGTGGATTGTCAGATATTTGATGGGCACAATGGAAAAGCTGCAGCGGTTTTCACAAGAGAGAATCTGTTGAACCATGTTCTTAGTGCTCTTCCTTGTGGACTTAACCGTGATGAGTGGCTTCAAGCTTTGCCTCGTGCTTTAGTTTCAGGATTCGTGAAGACGGATAAGGAGTTTCAGAGCAGAGGTATGTGCTCTCTAGAATTCATCATTACTCATCTCTTTTTTGAATCGAATCCATGAATGATCGGTTTTGTTCCTTAAACAGGAGAAACTTCAGGAACAACAGCCACGTTTGTGATAGTAGATGGATGGACTGTGACTGTTGCATGTGTTGGTGACTCTCGTTGCATCTTGGATACTTCAGGTGGTTCGGTTTCTAATCTCACTGTTGATCATAGGCTTGAAGATAACACAGAAGAGTATGTTACTATCTTTCTAAGCTTTTCGTTTTTTGAATCTTAAAGCAATATCTAAATCTTTTTATCGTATGATTCAGGAGAGAACGTGTGACTGCTAGTGGTGGAGAAGTTGGCAGGCTAAGCATTGTTGGAGGCGTTGAGGTTTGTTGCGTTCTCTTTATATTAAGCAGATCAGGTTTAAGCATTGAAGAGAAACTATGAAATGAATGTAGATTGGTCCTCTACGGTGTTGGCCTGGAGGTCTCTGTCTTTCAAGGTCTATCGGAGATATGGATGTTGGAGAGTTCATTGTTCCAGTTCCCTTTGTAAAGCAAGTCAAGGTATATATATACACATTTTTCTCTTTATTTTTATCATTTACATTAACAAACAAACTCTCAAACTGTTCTTCACCATTGTTGCGTGTACATAAAGCTATCAAACCTTGGAGGAAGGCTTATTATAGCTTCTGATGGCATATGGGACGCTCTCTCTTCAGAGGTGGCAGCGAAAACTTGTCGTGGATTACCTGCGGAACTTGCTGCTAGACAAGTAGTAAAGGTGATGTGAATGTTTCTTTCTTTTAACCTAATTTCAGATTGTGTAATCTTGCTTGTAAAACAAGATTTGTGTTCGTAGGAAGCGTTGAGAAGGAGAGGGCTTAAAGATGACACAACCTGCATTGTGGTTGACATAATCCCACCTGAGAACTCGCAAGAACAACCATTACCTTCTCCTCCTAAGAAACACAACAACTTCTTTAGGTCATTGCTCTTCAGAAAGAAATCGAATAAGCTCTCCAAGAAACTCTCCTCTGTTAGTATCGTTGAAGAGCTTTTCGAAGAAGGCTCTGCGATGCTTGCAGAAAGGTTGGGATCAGGTGATTGTTCAAAGGAATCAGCAACAGGAGGAGGATGGATGTTCACGTGTGCTATATGCCAACTAGACTTGGCTCCAAGCGAGGGCATATCAGTCCACGCGGGTTCGATCTTCTCGACGAGTTTAAAGCCGTGGCAAGGACCGTTCTTGTGTACAGACTGTCGTGATAAGAAAGATGCTATGGAAGGGAAACGTCCAAGTGGAGTTAAAGTCATCTAGCGTGAAGATATGGTATGATTCGTTCTTCTTCTTCTTGCGCACAGTATCGATTCGTTCTTTGATTATAATTCTTTCTTCTTTGGTTCTTTGTTATTTGTTACATCCATTCGAATAAGTTTGAGTTGACACTTGATTCTTTATGGATCTGAGAATCGGGTTCATGTTTTCATATATAGTGAGTTGGTTTGATTATACGATGTGAAGAACTTGTGTTGATATATATGAAAAGTTTGGTGATTGGAAAAAAGCAGCTCTGTCTCTCTTTGAAAAAAAAGAGAGTTAAATTTCTTCTTTGTACTTAAAGCTATTTGTAGGCGTCATCATGCATTAGATTTACTACAATTTTCGTTTTTCATGTTCCTCAAAACATAGCAAAACTCAATATACCAACAAAAACAGAACACGCACACAACAATTAGGCTCGAGGTTCCTTTTTGATTCTTGAATGAAGCAAGTAAGAATGAAATCTACCTTCTCGAGTGACACTTCACAATATCTCTTGCCAAAGTATTAAGCATTAAGAGCCGAGAGCTGATACGATATTGGCTCATATCAAGAGCTTTCATTGGCATTGACGAAAACTGGGAAGAAGATGGCCCTCTTCCTAGTTGTGACAGAGCATCAATATCTCAATATCTGCATTACAGTCTGACTAAATCTCAACATCCTTAACTATATTTTAGAAAGGGGAAAAGCTATTTAAATGCTTTTCATTTAACTTTTATATACCAAACTCTCTAAGTAGCATTTTTCTAGACACGGAACCAAATGACAAATCTATGAAATAAGGACTAGAAGAAGAGGATGAAACTCAAAGTGACGGTTCTATGGTTAATTATGTAATGTTACCTGAAGGCGGCTTATGGAAGAGCCAGCAAGCAAATCCTTTATCTACCATAGATATGGTTTAGATAATAATTCTTTCTTTAACGCCCTCTGCAGATGAAGTTGACACAAGCCACATGACATTACATCATATAGCTGGAGCAGCTTGAAGCCTGTAAGAAACAGCAACTTAATAAGCACCATAAGAATTAAAACAGAAACTCATGGACAACTTTTGAAATCACCAAACTGAATAGATACTTCATTAACATGCTCCTATGCTATGAAGTTACAGTTGAGGTGGGACTAAAACAACATGGTTCGTGGGATCTTTTCGGTTACCTGAAAACGTACGTCTTCTAGTTGAGGAGACGCTGAAAAAATAGAACCGGAAAAACAAAAACAATCAAAGATTCAGAGTGACATGTTGTTTTCCTCCCAGGTTTTGAAGGCAAGGCAAGTCAATAGTTTCTTGAAAGGTTCTTCATGTAGTCTGCAAAAAAACAACACGATGTTCTATTAATTATATTTACACAGTTTTGGATTAATCCTTTAAAACGAATTGTGAGTTGACTAAGTATTCAGTTTCAGTTTCATGTTTCCATGCTTACCCGCATACGCTTCCTGCATCTCTCCGTCTCCACCAAGCAATCTCCACATTCTTCACCTTGTTCAGTCTCATGGCTTTCATCATTAACCATACTGTCTTCATCGGCTTCACAAACATGTGGAAGAAGAGTATTTGGATTACCAAGTCGGTTCTCTGCTGATGAATAGTCGTTCAAGAGGCGTACACCCCATCTCTTTAATCCAAACGGAGACACCTTATTCAGTTCCACGTGAAGTTGTATATCCACGTGATCGTAGTTCAGCACAGCAAGAGGAGGAGCATTGTTTTTGCATTCCCACATTCTTAACCTCCATAGATTACTGAAGCTCTCGATCCACCAAGGAACCTCTTCGATCCCTGTTCCGCTTAGAGTGAGCCATGAGATGTTGGTTGAGATATCAGGAAAAATCCTAAACCGTGAGCATCTAGACAGATCGAGAAAATTAAGAGATTCGAAATTGATGCCATCTGGAAGAGTCTCCAGATTTATGCAGTCTATAATGCCCAACCTTTCCAGATTATTGAGATTCTGAAATGAAGAAGGAAGCTCCACCAAAGTTGGGATATCTGAGAGGGAGATAGCATGGCCATGATGGGTGTAAGCGGCTGAACAAAACAAAAGAAAATTCAAAAATGTCAAACAAAACAACCTCAAATGACTCTAATTTGAAGATGCGATGTTCGATTGTACGTTGTATAATATTTAAAAATATATAATCCATAGTTTTTACTGATATTCAGTCTATAGTCTATACTAACATCCACTTTCTCAAAATATAGGTTTTTTCTCTGAATATTTATTTCAGAATGTTTTAAGTAATTCGACATAGCCAAAATAATTGCTTGTGACGGTTTTTAGTTTAAAAAATATGGTTAGAGGAAAGTGTTAAGTAAGTACCTACCTGAACTCTTTCCCACAATTTGTCACTTTTTATTCCCCACAAATGAAGCTCGACAAGATTCTCTAAACGCAAGTTAGGGAGAAATTCTTCAATTGCTGTTTGGCTTAAGTCGAGTACATAGATGTTGCTTGAGATATCCGGAAAACTCTTCAACCGTGAGCATCCCATGAGACTGAGCCTTTCGAGAGATTTTAGGTTCATTCCGGTTGGAAGAATCTCCAAACTTCTACAGAAATTCATGTCTAACTTCTTCAGTTTGCTGAGATGCTGAATAGAAGAAGGAAGCTCCACCAAACTCGAGCAATGAGCAAGATTAAGTTTCTCGAGATTAGTGGCCAGAGAAAGATCTGGGATCTCTTTTAGGTTTGTAGATCCCATTAAATTCATATCCTTGAGTCCTGGAAGTGACTAGAGTAAAAGCATAAGACTGTTATCTATAATTTAATTATAGCAAAAAGGCATAAAAGCATCCTAGATCTTAACGGTAATTAAAATTTTACTAACACTTACATGAATTCTTTCCCACAACTTCTCGAGTTTGCTCCCCTGCATTTGGAGCTTTACGAGATTTATAGAACAAAAGCTAGAAGGCATGCGTCTCATTGGGTATTTGTCCCACCTCAATAGCCTAAGTTTAGGGGGCAAATAGTTGAAGCCTTCACCTAAGTACCATCTAACTTCTTTCTTGTAGTACCATTTCGTGTAAATGTTTAGAAAACGGAGATTTCTCATTCCGTTGAAGCCTTTCTTATGTATATGCAACACATCAATCTCATCAATGTTCAATGATATACCTATAATTTTGTTGGTACCCTGAAAACATAAAATTTCTCTTAGCTTAACAAGAAAATCCCAATCTTATTAGAGAAAATTATGGAAGGAGAACGAAAAATAGTACCGTGTTATCTTCAAGTACATCACATATATTCTTTGAATCTGTTAGGAATTCCCGTTCTTCTGGTTCGTCGGACTGTGCACGGACAATTTCTTTTCCCATTTCTTCTACTAGAAAGTGCATCTCCACGATATATTTTTCCACAAATGGTAATACATGTATGAGGGACCTATCAATTAGGATTTCAAGACCTATATCAACATTCAACTCACTATCTGCAAGCAACAACTTGATGTCATCGACTTCATCACCGTTGAGAAAACATGCAATGTAACGAAACAATGCTTGATGTTCTTTTCTTTCTAATCCATCGTAGCTTACTCGTAGTGCACTCTGAATTTTCCCATCTAGACCTTTCCGAAGAGTTGGCAACAAGTCTTCCCAATACTTCTCGTTTCTCCCACGCATACTCGAACCAAGAATGTTTAGAGCCAAAGGAAGACGACCTGCATGGTCTGCAACTTCAGAAGCCAGCTCCATGAATCCATCAGGTGGAGAATTTTGCCTGAAAGCATTTTGGCAGAACATCTGAAGAGCTAATTCTTCACTCGGCAAACCCACCTGATGAAGGAGCAGCCATTAAGAGAGAACGAAGCTGATTTTTTAGAAGAAGGACGATTTGGTGAGAGAGATTCTGAGAAAAATCGAAAGAGAAGTGAGAAGTGAGGTCTCTCACAGTCGTCGTTCAGAGACTCTATAATTTTCACCATTGTTTCTGACGCAATTTCATTATTTGTTGACTTGATCGCATTTTTGTTTTTTGGTCGGCCACTCTAGTCACATACATATGCTTTGTTATTTAACTTCATTTTTTTCCTATATTTACAATTACTTTCCGATTAATATTTTACTTTTTGTCTAGATGTAACTCTTTTTGTGCGGTGTGTGTTTTTATAGTTTTTTCAATTTTCAGTTCTTTTATTTTCTATGTCGGCAACATTTTTTATTAAGCATAAATCAAAAGATTACATCATGTGTCAGGTGATTGTATAGCTTAAGTGTTCTTCCCTAGCTAATTTAGCTAAATGATTAACCGCCTGATAAGATCACGTTTAACATGCATATATATATAGAGAAATCATTTTAATTTTGACTATAACTTTCACCATCATTTCTATTTCCGGAGTGCTCCAAGCTTGCATCCTCTTGTGACCAAATGTAACATTTTAGAAGCCCAAATGTTATCAAAAGAGAGTTTTGTTATCTTCTACTGAGATAACATTGTCATAACTCATAAACCAACCTAGCAATGCTAAAGCTTTAGCTTCTAAATCTAATGGGGTTAAAGTTAATTGGTGCAGTTGAAGAACTTGTTGCATATGTTCTTCTTGTACAAAGACCAAGTAATACCTGCTCTGTCCATCGAAGGAATTCACTAAGCATCAACTGTACAACAATAGTGATGACTAAGTGATAAAGCACTTTGAAGGCATTGTGTTATAGTGTTTTCAATCGAATTGGGATTTCGTAAAGTTTTGTTTTTTGGTGAAGGTAATAACGGGAGTATCGGATGCGGAGCTAAACAAGTTCGATGTGAGTGAAGGTAACCTTTACGAGAGAGTCACTGTTGAAGTTGTACGGACGGTATGTGTGTAGGAGGAATCAGATCTTTGTCTCTCTCTCTCTCTCTCATCGCAATCTTGACCCCAATTTTGACTTCAAGTGGATTGTGATGATGCAGGACAATTCTGAGAAGATGAAAGCGGAAACTTATGTGTGGGTGAATAAAAATGATCCTGCTTTGTATGGAGAATGGTGATTTTGAGGTTGGTTCCTTTTAATGGATGGTGAAATGTTACCTTAATTTTCTTTGCATATATAGTTAAAATGTAGGAATGGAGAGTGATTAAAGATGATCATTGTGTGTGTGTGTGTGTGTGTGTGTGTAGGAATGGAGAGTGACTATGCGGATAAGTTCGTGGAGACGTTTAGGAAAATTCTGGAATGGCACAGGAATCCAAATGGGCAGAGATTAGAAGATGTTGTAGATCCATCTTTATTTTCTGAGCATGGTGATTCTTGAACATACATTAAATTGTGTTCAAACTGAAATGGAGTAAGTTAAGTGTGTTTTGAATAATGTGTTTGTGTGTTGTTGGAACTTGAAAACTGAGTCTCTTTATTCGATTATGTTGGTAATATTGTCTGGCACACTCAAGAATTATACTAACGAGAGTTCGGGTCCAAGACATGGCAACAGTAATCACAAATTAGGATGGTTAACCGGAATGCTTCATGTTCTTGATTTTCACCGTTGGAAAACAAACAACCGCCCAATCGTCATCATCTTCTTTCAGTTGTTTCTAAGAATGGAGATTCAAAGATGCTTAGCGTTGTCCCAGAGAAGCCAACGCTGTGTATGTGTTTAATTTGAGCTGTTCATGTTAGTTTTTGCCATTGATTTGTTGAACAGCTTTACTGTTAGAAACTACTAATTAGGTTTCTTTATTTTAAAACTGAATTACTTATCTAATTTATCTTACTTAATTTATTAATATGTAAAGGAATTTAATATCATCAAAAGGAATCTATCTAATCGATATTAGATTTATTTACTAAACAAAAAAAGGATAACATGTGGGCGGATTCGAACCCGGAAAGGGTTCCAGCATAATCAACAAACTTAACCAATACGCTTAAGAGACCTTTTTGGTTATTGTGCCCCTTAAATCTTTATATATTTTGGCGCCCTAAGCAACTTTGTAAATTTTGGCGCCTAAAACCTATGCCTTACGGGCTTTAGCTCCGGGCCGGCCCTGGTGGCACATGAGCATTGTAGTTATGCTTTTATGAGAATCTTGGTTCCATGTTTCTGACTCTTCCCACATTTGATAATCCATTATAGCTCTATATCGATTATCTGATGAATGGATTTTCTTTTATTTTCAGAGAGCAACATACTACGCATTTTCCATATCCTCCACCCAATAAAAGCAAACATGGTATCTTTGCTTGTAGGAAGCATTCGTGAAGTAAGGTTCCAACTAATAAACAATACTATCTCACTTTATTTTATGGAATCAAAAGTCAGACAATAACAACATGTGGGCAGAAGTGATAGTTTTCACTGGGTAACATTGTTGCTCACCCATTCCTTTTCTCTCCCGTGTTTGCAGGTTAGCGTGTTTAGCAAGCAAGTCTCAAGGATTCGGTGCCTGGTATTTCTATACAAGGGTTTCCGTTTTTTATTATTGAAGTAACATAACTTCTCGGCTAAGTCAGCGGGGGTGTTACATAAGCAATCTCAGAACACAGTAGCAACCACAACAGTATAGATGCTAGCATACTCGGTTTCGAAGTGACGACCAAATAGCACAAGCTTACCATTGATTGAATAAGCTAATTGTATATATATAAACGTAGAAAACTCATGATCAGCGATAAGTTGTTTGTAAACAACTCTCAAACACACATTTAACACCCAGTTTTAAGCTCATTATAGAAGCCGTAGAGAGAGATTTATAGACAAAAATAATCAGAACACATCAAACAACTTTGCTTTGTAAGCGGCAAAAACCAGTTGCAGAAAGCTCATCTTTTTGAGGCAAAGTGTTGTTCACAAATAAGGCTTTACCAGGAGATAAGTCTAATCTAGCACTCAAGATTCACATGAATTTGCCAATTGACATATCTCGTGGAACCAGAAAAAGACATGGTTGTTACACATTAAATACAATACAAAATTAGTTTTTGCCAAACTTTTCTCGTGAGAAAAAACTATTATAATTTTCGGGTTTTTTTTCTATTAGTTTGCCACCAAGTTCCACCACTTCAAGAAAATCAAAACATAGCAAACTAAAAAAACCAACAAAACAGAACACGTTAAAAAAAACAAATAGGCTCAAGATTCCTCTTTGCTTCTTGAATGAAGCCAAGCACCTCCTAGAGCCAAGTAAGATTGAAATACACCAAACTTTAACTAACAGTTTTTCGATAAACACGGAACCCAAATGACAAATCTATGAAATAAAAATGACCTATAAGATGCTCCTATGCTCTGTAATCAAGGTGGAACTAAAATAGGATTTCCCGGTTACCTGAAAACGTATGCCTGGCTGAGGACACCGTGACAATTGACAAATCCCTGCCTCTCTTCGTTGTATTGTGATTGTGAGGAGACCATGAAAACGTATGTATAATGGGGTTTGCGTTTAATGACATAAGTCTCTCCATAAAACATACAAAGATTTCTGAAAACAACTTCTCATTAAACGAAAATTTCCCTTCATTAATCCTTTGATCCAACCTTCTGAGTCCTCTTCAGACTTCTCTCCAAAAACTTGAGTATCTCATTTTTTCTGCTTCTTCTTGCAGTAATATGTATGATGAATCTTATCATTTTCATACTTAATCGCATACGCTTCCTGCATCTCTCGATCTCCATCAAGCCACATTCTTCACCTTGTTCAGTCTCATGGCATTCATCATTCACCATATTGTCTTCATCGGCTTCACAAACATGTGGAAGAGCGTTTGGATTACCAGTCTTTCTCCGCTGATGAATAGTCGTCCAAGAGGCGTACACCCCATCTCTTTAATCTGAACGTATAGTCCTCCTCGTCATCGGGGAACATTGAAGCTAGATGATCACTGCGACTTATTTGAAGTTGTATATCCACGTGATCGTAGTTCAGCTCAGCTTGAGGAAGAGCATTGTCTTTGTTTAGAGGGACACGACAGTCCAATATAAACATGGGACTATCTTTCTTATCTTTCTTATCAAACCATCGTGGCTTGTGGCCAAGAGATTCAAAAATATCCCAAATCTGCCTTTGAACCGACATTTACATCGATATCTACTCCGTTGAGACCAAATCTGTCGCAAATAACCACAACACAAACCCTAAATCTGAAGAACGGTTGCAAGAGAAAGCTGGGAAACTAGAGGGATGGTCAGAGAGGAGTAGGTTCCTTCTTCTTCCGCGGGGTAGGTTTCAGAAGTTTGATAAGTGAAATATGAAGGCACTTCTTCCCCTGGCAAAATTAGTTTCTCCGTTTTTACTGTTTGTTTTTCAATCAGAGCCTCTTGATTCAAGTTGAAGCAGTTTCTGAAATCGAGCTTGATGTTATCTTCTCGAAGAGATGGAGAAGCCTCGTCAAGTATTGGCAACTTAGAGTGATCATTCAAGCTAACTTCAGTCAATGCCCCACAATTTGAAAAATCAACCTCCTCGAGACGTTTCAGTTTAGAAATGTTGAGGGACACATGCTTCAAACTTTTGCATACCCGCATTCTTATAGCTATTAGATTACTGAAGCTCTCGATCCACCAAGGAACCTCTTCAATCGCTGTTCCGCTTAGATTGAGCTGTGAGATGTTGGTTGAGATATCAGGAAAAATCCTCAACCGTGAGCATCCAGACAGATCGAGTTTATCTAGAGATTCGAAATTGATGCCATTTGGAAGAGTCTCCAGATTTATGCAGTCTGTAATGCCCAATGTTTCCAGATCATTGAGATTCTGAAATGAAGAAGGAAGCTCCACCAAAGTTGGGATATCCGAGAGTACCAAATACCTCAAAGAGGGAGATAGCATATCCATGAGGGGTGTAAGCGGCTGAAAAAAAAAAATTAGAAGATGTCAAACACTATCAATTCGCATGCTTTTATTTTCAAACGTGTAATCTATAGTTTTTATTGACATTCACTTTCTCCACAATAATTTCTTACACTACACAGAAACTTTATTTCACAATGTTTCAGAAATTAGACATAGCCACAATAATTACTTATGAAAGTATTTAGTTTAAGAAATGCTTGGAAGAAACGTTCGGTTAAGTTCACACCTGACCGTTTTTCCACAATTTATCACTTTTCACTCCCAACATATCAAGGTGAAAGAGATTCTCTAGACGCAAGTTAGGGGGAAATTCTTCAATCGCTGTTCGTCTTAAAAAGAGTACAGAGATGTTACTTGAGATATCAGGAAAACTCTTCAACCGTGAGCATCCCCAGAGATTGAGCTGTGCGAGAGATTGGAGGTTCACTCCGGTTGGAAGAATCTCCAAATTTTCACAATATGACATGTCTAACCACTCCAGTTTGCTGAGATGCTGAATAAAAGAAGGAAGCTCCACCAAACTCGAGCACTTCAAGATTAAGTGTCTCGAGACTAGTGGCCATGGAAAGATCTGGGATCTCTTTTAGATTTCTAGATTCCGCTAAATCCATTTTCTTGAGCCCTGTAAGTGACTAGAGTACAAGTTACACATCAGATTGTTATCTTTTTCTTTTTTTTTCTCAATAATAATTATACTTTTACTTAGAACTTACATGAATTCCTTCCCACAACTTCTCGAGTTTGCTCTCCCGCATTTCCAGCTTAACGAGATTTTCAGGACAAAAGCTAGAAGGCATGCGTCTCATTGGGTATCCCACCCACCTCAAGAGTCTAAGTTTAGGGGCAAATAGTTGAAGCCTTCATGTAAGTGCCATCTAACTTCTTTCTTCTTGTCCCATTCTTATGTAAATGTTTAGAAAACGGAGATTTCTCATCCCTTTGAAGGATTCCTCATGTATATGCAACTCATCAATCTCATATAGATATACCTATTATTTTTTTAGTACCCTGAAAATATAAGAATCATTAGCTTAACAAGAACTTCAATCCATCTTATTGTAGAGAATTATGGAAGTAGAAAGAAAATATTACCGTGCCATCTTTGAGTACATCACATACATTCTTTGAATCTGTTAGGAACTCCCATTCTCCTGGCTCGTCGGACTGTGCACGGACAATTTCTTTTCCCATTTCTTCTACTAGAGAGTGCATCTCGACAAAATTTGTATCGGTGACATGTATGAGAGACCTATCAATTAGAATTTGAAGACCTATTCACATTCAACCCACTATCTGCAAGCATCAACTTGATGTTATCGACTTCATCACCGTTGAAAAACATGCAATGTGACGAAACAATGTTTTATGTTCTTTCTTTCCTAATCCATCGTAGCTAACTTGTAGTGCTTTCTGAATTTTCCCGTCTAGACCTTTCCGAAGAGTTGGCAACATCTACCCAATACTCCTTGTTTCTCCCACGCATACTCGAACCAATAAGGTTTAGACCCAAAGGAAGACGACCTGCACGTCTGCAACTTCAGAAGCCAGCTCCATGAAACCATCAGGTGGAGAATTTTGCCTGAAAGCATTGGCAGAAATCTGAAGAGCTAATTCTTCACTCGGCAAACCCACCTCGTAAACACATTCGATCCCATGACCCCTTAGAATCTGCTTATCCTTTGTGACCACAATGATTCTGCTTCCAGGACCAAACCATTCATCCCCACCAACCAATGTCTCTAACACCACTCTGTCATCCATATCATCGATAAAGATAAGAACTTTCATGTTCTTTAGCTTCTCTTCACCGCACCCAAGTATCAATCTCTATCATCTGCTTATCTAATATCTTACACAGGAAATTTTCTTGCAAATGCAGCTTCATGTTATAGTCATCCGGGTTGCTCTTGCTATAATTTCCATACTATTTGCTATGAAACGCCTGTCTATGTAAATGCTACCTTGGAAGTGTCGAGAGAGACGACTGAACAGAACTCTGCGATTGTAGTCTTACCAATCCCTGAGGAACCCCATATACCAATCATCTTCACTTCCTCAGACTCCAAATCCAACAGATCACTCATTTGAGAGATGTGATCTTCAATGCCAACAAAGTTCTCAAAATCCTTTGATGGAGTTAAAAGCAGTTTGCTCAAAACATCATTGGTGATTGCTTCAATCATTGTAGCTTCGTTACCCCTAATAACAAGGACAAAATATAATTTACACGATGTTTTCGTCAAAAGCAAATTTTTTTGTTTACCAAAATCATAATAAAATCTCTCACCATCACAGAATGATATCCAAGGAGATTGGCTATGTTCGTCAAAGCTTCCTTCCATTGAATCTTCACTTCCTCTGTCTCTGTGCTTTGGAGGCATGTCTCTTCAAAGACCTTTCCAAAATAACCGGTTTGTTTCCTTACGTGTGTAGGATCCAAACCGTAGAAAACCGGAATCACCATTTGACCAAACTCTTCCTTGCAGTTCACGATCTCCAACAGTTCGTTAAGGCACCAGCTTGAAGAAGCGTAGTTTCTGGAGAATATGACCACAGCGATCCTCGAATCCCTGATTGCATTTTTGAGCTCGGGACCAATCGATCCGCTTCTCTCGATCTCGTTGTCTTTGAAAGCAGAGATCAGTTTCCGATCAAGCTCCTTGAGAAAGTGGCTCAGGAAAGCTACGCGGACGTCTTCTCCGCGAAAGCTCGGGAAGACATCATATAACCAATTGCGCGAAGGAGCAGCCATAAAGAGAGAACGAAGCTGAGTTTTTGAGAAGAAGGACGATTTGGTGAGAGAGATTCTGAGGAAGATCAAAAGAGAAATAAAGACTCACCGTCGTCGTTCAGGGACTCTTGTAATCTCACAATTATTTTTCCTACGTACATATTTGTTGACTCAATTAGTTGACTTGACTTTGGTTACGTCCACACAAATTAATATATTTTCTTCAAAACAAATATTGAAATTCCGAACGCCACACGGATCCTATCAATTAGACTGATTTATTTGCTGACGACGGCCAAACAAATTTTCAAGACTTTGTCAAATATATTGATTTTTACAAGTCCTCATAGTTTTTCGATTTTTCATTCTAAAGCTAGAATTTTGTTAAATTCCTCTAGTGAAACACGGAGAGCGTTCCTCATTAGTGTTTTGTATAGTTTTATTAAAGCAAAACACATCGTGAGTAGAACGGAACACAACAACACAGCCTAACTCGTCCTCAGATGCTTAAATGATAGTATCACTTAATTGGCATTTTAGTGTATGTTTTCGTTATGGCACTTTTATGGGAAATAAGCTGAGAATGTACGGACTTGCATTTCCATTTCCATTTCCATTTCCATCACTCTTCACTCATCTAAGCAATCTAGTATAAGTTTTTGAAGGGAGCACGAAGCCAACATTTACAAGGCTGTTGCAAGACTTGTTAATGTCACAAATTAGATAACTCATTTGAACATGGCAGAAGACTGATAATGAAGAAGAAGTGACTCTCACTTTCGTAGTTTCGTGTAAGAAATACATATATTGGATACAAATCAAACCCATATATGAACGTTTTTGTAAAGCCCAAACTCAACAAATTAATGAGTTTTTTAATGACAAAAACAAATTTAATCAGCTCACAATCATGCATATACGATTCCAATACTTGTAGGACGACGTACCACAAGCCTACGCTCCTAGTTTGGCATATTTTCGTTAGTAGTCTGTCATTCAAGTTATGTTTTGTAAAAGACCAAAAGATTATTCTATATCGAATAGTTCTTTAACAAAAACATATCTGAAATAACTAAAAGATGTTCCCTGAAATCATGGAACTTTTTATATTCATTATACAATTACTAAATTGAAAAATAACATTCCATTTGTCAGAGTTTTAAGTATTTTGTTAGGAATAGTAATGAAATTTGTGAGGTTGCAACTTTTGTTTCGACGGGGAACAGTTTGCATGAAACAAGCAAAGACAATAATGTTGAAACTCGAAAGCAAAAAGCTCAGCTTCTCTCGTCGGCTTTAATCTTCTTTTCTACGAAAAAAGCTGAATAAAATCAACAAGACCAAATATAAGCCTTGAGAATCGTGAAGACTCAACTTTTCGCTTTATTTACCAGATTGTCCCTTCTCTGAAAATTATCCGAAAAAAGAAAAATACAGAAACTGGATTTTTTGGAATTTGTTAGATTTTGATGCACGATAAGTAATTATGAGCATTAATCTTCTTCACGTGGAAGAAAATCAATAGAGTTAACACGTGAGAGAGATCACAGGCACGCGTGTGGGCAGAAACAAAATCCCAATTTCATCATTATTATACTTACCGTTACGGGAAAAATCAAATACCCTTTGACTATTTGAATCCCTTTTGGTCAAATATCAAACGATCGTACTGTCTACAAGGGTACATTTGTCATTCCGTAACTCTTAAAGGGTAAAAAAATGGGACACAATAAAGGCTTTTAATTACGACCATACCACTTTCTCTTTTCTTCTATACACTCTCTCTTCTTTCTTTCTCTCTTGTCTGCAAATTTCGTAGAGTGACAATGGAGATATGTTCTTTCTTCTTCAACCAGCATTTTCTTCTCTCTCTACTCCTCCTTAACTGTTGTTTCCTTTCTTCGTCGAGCTCCGATTTGGAAGCTCTTCTAACCTTCAAATCCGCCGCCGATTCCACCGGTAAACTCAACTCATGGAACTCAACCACCGACCCGTGCAAATGGACCGGAGTTTCCTGCGCCGGAGACCGAGTCACTCGACTCGTACTCGAGAACCTCGACCTCACCGGGTCAATCGAGCCACTCGCTTCACTCACCGAGCTCCGAGTTCTCAGCCTCAAACGAAACCGCCTCTCCGGTCCAATCCCCGACCTCTCAAACCTCACCGCACTGAAGCTTCTCTTCTTATCGGAAAACCAATTCTCCGGCGAGTTTCCGGCGACCGTCACTTCACTCTCTCGTCTCTACCGCCTCGATCTCTCCTCCAACAACTTCTCCGGCGAAATTCCACCGTCGCTAAACCATTTAACCCACCTCCTCACTCTCCGGTTAGAATCAAACCGGTTCACGGGTCAAATACCGGATATCGATTTCTCCGATCTCCAAGACTTCAATGTCTCCGGTAACAAACTAACCGGTCAGATTCCAATTCCCTTCTCCAAATTCCCAAATTCCGTTTTCGGACTTAACCCGTCTCTCTGCGGAGCCCCATTACAACAATGCCCAACCAAACCGGGTCAACCCGATGGAGCAAAAGCTTCTCCTCTAACCAAACCGGAAACCGTACCGTCGTCTCCAACCTCAATCCAATCCAAAACCAAAAACGACGACAACAAAACGAGAATCAGCACCGTCGCGCTCGTAGCTATCATCCTCGGAGACGTACTCATCCTAAGCTTCGTCTCTCTCCTTCTCTACTGCTGTTTCTGGAGACAATACGCCACAAACAAGAAGAAAGACTCGAAAGTTCTCGAAGGAGAGAAGATCGTCTACTCATCAAACCCATACCCAACGACGGCGAACAACAACCATAACCAACAAGGCGGTGAGAGGGGTAGAATGGTCTTTTTCGAAGGAACGAGGCGGTTCGAGCTTGAAGATCTTCTCCGAGCATCGGCTGAGATGTTGGGGAAAGGAGGGTTCGGGACGGCGTACAAGGCGGTGCTTGACGACGGCAATGAGGTCGCCGTGAAGAGGTTGAAAGACGCTGTGACGGTGGCCGGAAAGAAAGAGTTTGAGCAGCAGATGGAGGTTTTGGGGAGGCTTCGTCACGTTAATCTCGTGAGCTTGAAAGCTTACTACTTTGCTAGAGAGGAGAAGCTTCTTGTCTATGATTACATGCCTAATGGTAGTCTCTTCTGGCTTCTCCATGGTACGTCGTCGTTTTCGATCCCTTAATTTAATACTGTTACGAAGTTTATCACACTAATCAGATTAGAGATTAGGATTATGTTAAAAATTATAGAGAAATGGTAGGGATCTTTTTGTGTGGGCCCAAAACAGGTGATTTCCTAATTCTTGGTACTGTATATGTAACGAAATGACGTTAGTGTAACGCCAAAATTGCATAAGAAGAGAGTATTGTTAGTTTCTGGACCTCGTGAGATTTTCATATATTTTTATAGTAAGCTGTTGAAAAAATCACTTTCAATACAGCATTTACTAAAATAGATAATGAGAATTTAACTATTTGGCAACTAGTTGGAAAAATAAAGTCCTGATCTGTCTTATTTAATCGCTTTTTGTTCTAGTGTTTGTCTCTTTCCACCTAACCACTTTATTTTATTCAGTGTGTTTAGTAACTAGGAGTAATAAAGCAACTAATTACATTTTCGAGGTAAGTGGCATATTTGTAATATTTGCGAAATATGGTGTCTGATTTTGGTATTTTTGGACTTTTGCTGGAGCAGGAAACCGTGGACCGGGTCGGGCCCCATTGGACTGGACCACGCGCCTGAAGATCGCAGCAGGGGCGGCGCGTGGAGTAGCTTTCATCCACAGCTCGTGTAAAACCCTTAAGCTCACTCACGGAGACATCAAATCCACAAACGTCCTCCTCGACAGCTCCGGCAACGCTCGCGTTTCCGATTTCGGCCTCTCTATCTTCGCGCCATTGCAAACCACCGCTAAATCGAACGGTTACCGTGCGCCGGAGTTGATCGACGGCCGAAAACCCACGCAAAAAACCGACGTTTACTCGTTTGGAGTGCTTCTTTTGGAGATTCTCACCGGGAAATGCCCGAATTTACTGGAGACGGGTCACGGAGCCGGTGCGGGTGGGGCGGTGGATTTACCGAGATGGGTCCAGTCGGTGGTGAGAGAGGAGTGGACGGCGGAGGTGTTCGATTTGGAGCTGATGAGGTATAAGGATATAGAGGAGGAGATGGTGGGGCTGCTTCAGATTGCAATGGCGTGCACGACGGCGGCGGATCACCGGCCGAAGATGAGTCACGTGGTGAAGATGATCGAGGAGATACGTGGTGGTGGTGAGGCGTCGCCGTGCAACGACGGGATTAATTCTGCGGCGGAGTCTTCGCCGTGTTTGTCTGAGGACACGTGTGGTGGTGGGACTACTAGTCAGTAGTAAGACTCGTTTTACTATTAACCTGTAAATCACGTGGTAAAAGGATCTTTACTTTATGTCCTTTTTCTGAGTTCTGTCTGAATCATTACACTTCTCTAGAGTTTTTGTTAGGATCTCTTTTTTTCTTCAAGTTTTGTTCTTCTTTAATTTGTTTTGTTTCTGTTTAAATGTTATCCGAGAAAATTATGTGAGTCTCCAGTGTTTTGGATTAGGAGTCAATAGTAGACTGATTGTTTGTTTAATGTACTCATTCATAACTATAATTTATGTTTTTGTGTTAAAATTCTTAATTACGTCTACATTTTGCAAAAATATTTCTATATTGACTTAGACCACAACTTTCTAAATGAATGTAACGCCACCCACTAGAGATGCCTTAAGGTCGGTTTCATTATTCTTTCTTATTTCTCCGACGATAGAAACTCGAAACGACTTTATTATAGAGTATGGAAGCATATGCGTACATTTATCGCATAGTATGTAACATTGTCGGCTTGTAATTACTATAATACATAGGTTACACGATAGTCAACAATAGAAACATAAGATATCTAATTTTATGTAGTCGTTAAAGCTAGTTTCGTCGGCTGATATTACGGAATAGCAAACAGTTAAGTGGGACGTGTAGATGAATCACCCAAAAGATGTCAAGACTTTTCATGAACCACTACAAATCAATTCTCGACATACATTTATCTTATTTCATCAATGTATGTAGTATAAAGATTTATCTGCAAACAAACTATTCTCAATTTTTTTAAGAACTGATTATTTGCGAATTGCAAAGAAGAAGAAAAAAGAATACAACATAACGGTGACAATTTGGAAAAAAAAAATTATGTAAGTGAATGATGATTAGAAATATAAAGAAGTAGGTGCAAGCCTAAGCAACCTGCCAAGAGCAGTGGGCAAGAACTTGCGAGCAAATAAATAACAAATATTAGTTTTGACTCCATTGTGATAACACATCCTATAGTCATCACCACCACTCCTCAGATTCTCCAAGAACTCTTCAGTCACCTCGTATCTGATAAACCGGTTCGGGTGAGGCCCACCTTTGGACCAGTCGACCCACGTGAGAGTCCGGTTCGAGTTGCGTCGAGCCATGCTCGGTTTGATGTTGATGAGCGTAGGGATGTAATGCTCGTCCGCGTAGCAACCGTGGTGGCAATAGCGGTAGAAGAGAGGCCAGTAGATCACGTCGGAGATGATCTCGAGGGCCATGGCACGGTCCACTTCGAACCATTGGGAGCCTTTGCGCCAGTGGCGTAGCTTGACACGTGGCTGCATCTCGGGGCTGTATCGGCCACGTCCTACGCCGCCGAGTTGGTCGTAGGACTCGACGTGAGTTTGAGTTGAGTGAGTGAGGTAAGTGTAAACGGTGGTGAAGTTGAAGAGAGGGATGCATGATTCGGAGAGAAGTAGGAATCGTTCGTTGGATATGTCTAGTAATGCGTTTGCTAGTAGTCTTTGTTCTGCTTCAATCATATTCACGTATCCCCAATCCACTCTCTGCATTATCAATAAACAATTCCAAAACAAAAAAGTTAGGAGATCCATATGTATAATTATAAGAAACTTAACGTAATTTATATCAACAAAGTAGTTTATTCTTTTCTTTTTGTTGAGTAAATATATAAAAATTTGCATGTATATTATCAAGAAAAAAGAATGTCCCACGTTGCAATGTTAAGGAAATGTTAATCTAGAGGATAAGATGACGCATTGATGCTAACATTGGATCGTATACAAATATTTGCAAGTACCGAGACTTTTTTGGCGGTTACCTCCAGTCTGAATATTGGAAACTTCCTATTTAATTTAGACCAGGTATTGAATTGTCATACATAAGACACCCGGTTGTATATGAAATTTATTCAAATTCTGTTATGTTATCAGATAAGAGTACCATAAGTTTCTAAATATTCCACCAGTACACCCCAAAAATAAACTTAAATTCAAATGACCGCGTGTAAGAGTGGACCAAGAAAAAGAAAGTCCAACGATTAAGTCAGAAATAAAATTCTAAATTGTTAACCATTTTTTTGTAGGTATTTTCTTGTATTAACAAGGTTTCTAGCCACCACCAACAAAAGTCACATCATAAGAGAAGATTGATCAGTCTCGGTTTGAGAAAGTATCGGGAAATAATTAAAGAGGGATTTGATTTTTGTATTTAAGACACATGCGTTTGTGACAACTAAGTTTAAGCGCTAATAAGTTCTCTTCTTTTACGGGTACATGCGTTTGTGCCTCCAATTCTTGTTGGCAAAAACGATTTGTTAACTAATGTAGAATATTTTAACCAAAGAAGAAAGAAAAAGCTAATGAAGAAACCATGCAATAATTAACCCAAAAAGAAGAAGAAAGAAAAGAAAGAAAAGAAACGGACGGACCACAAACAACAGCTTGATTAAGGGTATTATAATATACTTAACAAAAAGCAACCGTATAATGCAAGATAATTAACATTCCCTTGACAATTTCTTTTCAATTTTATCCACTTTAATATGAGATTTTTGTGTAGTAATTACTCAATCACACTCAGAGAATGTCAACAACGCATTTTACAAGAAACGTAAGTTAAGATTTTTAGCATTTCTTTTCTTTAGTTTCAAGAATTTTGAGATTTGGTAGGGCTACTAATCGTCACAAAACTGTAATTTCAAAACATTATTCTCCACCGTAATTTCAACCAAAATATGAAAAAAAAGAATATCAAAGGAAGCTAACCTTGCTTGGAATCTGCCGGCCATGGAAGACGGATTCTTCGGGATAGGACTCGTTGGAAGAAGGATAGGAGTGAATGTATATAGTGAAAAGACCTTCATGTCCTCGAAAGAATCTCTCCCACAAAGGAGCAAGAGGCAAATGTCCCTTTGTCAAGAACATGAAAGCAATCTTTGGGGTTCGAGGAAAAGGGTAATCCCTTATCTTAGGCGCCATTGAAGCTCTCCAAAAAAGCTCTTCGTCTTCCATGTCGTGCATGATCTTCTCCGGTGGCTTCAGAAACCGTTTGAACCCATCGTGCTCTGGTTGAGAAGGAGGAGGAGGAGAAGGTGGAGGAGGAGAAGGTGGAGGAGGAGGAGGAGGAGGAGGAGGAGATGAGTCAAGGAAGAGCTGAGAGATGCGTTGGATGCTAAGTGAAGAAGTTGAAGACATGTCTTGTAAAGATGAATGAAGGAGAATGCCGATGATTATGCCGCAACAAAGAATAAGGGAACAAGAAAGGAGATTGAGGAAATGATGGTATTGAGCATTGAGAAGCTTTGCTACTAGAGATGGTGATGAAGAAGACAAGGATGAGTTTTGATCCTTTAACTTCTTCATCGAGAGAGAGAGAGATAATTGTGTTGTTGTTCAATGGATCTACAAAGTTTGAATGGAGAAGGAGAGACTTAAGTTCTTTGCTTTAAGGGCAAGAGATACGATACCGCTTTTTCAAGTGGAGAATTATATTTTATACTTTTGTTGGGTCTTCTTTTTTTGTTTGTCAAAATGAAATTTCTTGGGTTGAGAAGATAGGAAATTTCATACCGTCTCACTGTATGAAATCTTTATACAGGGGTAAATAGTAATGTTAGGATTAGAAATTTGATTTTGGCAGATTTCAAGGGTGATTGAAACGGATTACTGTTTAATTGATGAAATACGTTTGATACTTGTGAATAAACATAATTAATAAATTGACATAAATCTTACTACTCTAAAAAAGAAACAAAACTAACAGAAAATATGATAATTAATGTGTTATCTGTTGAAAATAAATTTGAATAAATCATTTTTCAAACAAAAGAAAAAACAAAGACAAAAGAATAACGCCAGTCAGTATATCTTATTATATAAAGTTGGATGTGCGCGATGTGGTTGCGACACCTATGATTTATAAAATATAGGATCGCGACATGTGTCACTTTTAAGATTATGTCCGTTAAGATCGTGACACGTGTATTAGGGGAAAAAAGAAAAAAAAATATTTTTAAAAAATACTAGAAAAAGAATAAATAAAAAAAAAACGAAATTTAATCTACTATATTTTTTTTTAAAAAAGAGAAATTAATATTTGTCATATCCTAATAGAAAAAGGTTTTCTATTCATCAAAATTGTATTATCCTTAATACATATAAAATTCAAAATAATGTTACAGATAAAATTGCGACATGTGTCACTTTTAATGTTACGTCCGTTAAGATTGTGACACAGGGAAAAAGGAAAAAAAAAATAAAGGAAAATTTTTAATCTTTTATAATAAAAACGAAAATTTATATAATAAATTAAAAATAATGTAATAAACAATACTCCCTCCCATTTTTTAAGATGAATTTTCTGGACATTTTTTGTTGTTTCACAAAGATAAAATTTTTAGCTTTTTGAAGTACTTTTTCAGTTTTCAAGAAACAATAATTGAATTTGTTAGATTTTTATTGGTCTAAGTTTATAGAAAGTTGTTTTATTGCCAAAATCTATACATTAATGATTGAAAATCAACTTTTTCTTAATATGTATGAAAACTCTAGAAAATTCATCTTAAAAAAACGGAGGGAGTATCTATTAGTACATGGAATAGATATGTAAACTAAATATCCTAAAGCTGTATGGAATAGATATGTAAACTAAATATCCTAAAACTGTATGGAATAGATATGTAAACTAAATATCCTAAAACTGTATGAAATAGGTTACATCAACTCCTATTTTAAAAAATCCTATAAATATATGGAATAGGTATGTAAACTAAATATCATAAAACTGTATGAAATTGGTTACATGAACCCCCTATAAAAAGAGAGTTACTGTATTCTCCTTTTCTCATTCACAAACTCATCAAAGCAAATTCAGCAAATCTCTTTGATTCTCTTTCTCTAATTTTGAAATCATGTCTTTGAAAGTTCAAGAGAACATTGGAGATTATTTGACTCTAGGTTAATTGGATCGAAATTATCGCCGTACTATAGTGCGTGTTATTTGAAAGTGGGAAGCTAGAAATCATAAAAAAAACAAAAAAAACAAAAAAAAAATCTTATGGGAGTTGAGCTTCTCTTACTTGATGAAAATGTTAGTAACATCTTATTATATTGATATAGATAATCTTATTATAACATTGATTAACATTAAAGTTTTACTTTTGTTTGAAACAGTAAAACACAATTCAAGTTTTTGTGCATCATTCACTACTTCAAAATTTTAGAGATCAGATGGTCGAAGGAAACATCATCGAAATTTGTAATTTTAATCTGCAGTCTGCTGATCAAAAAGTTTTATTACTTGATGAAAAAGTTAGTAACATATTATATTGATATATATCTTATTAAGAAAATGAGGGAAAAAAACTCTCATTAAGAAAAGAAAAAAAAACGGAAAAAAAAGAAGTTGTTACATCTGTTATGAAAAGGAAAAATAAAATATATTTCAAATACGAAAAGAAAAAAAAAATAATACTCCCTCTATTCCATCCAGATACATCCACTTTTTTTTCAGATACATTTTGCCAAGTGCTTATAATATGGGACAGAGAGAGTAATATATAGTAAGCTATAGCCTTTATGATTTAATTGTGTGAATCTATCTTTTGTTTAAACTTCTCTCTCATTAAGAAATAAATATAATGTATTTGAAAGTTCATGATATCAGTGAAGAGTATTTAACTTTGGATCCAAATCAAAATTATTGTTGCTACTTGTGTCTAATATTTTGAAAACAAGTGTTAACACAAGAAAATTGGAAAAATGTATAAAATAAAAAAACAAAACTAACAAAATAATTAGAAAAAACTAACGAAAGGAAATTTTATAATGGCATGAGTCAAAAACAAAACTGAAAAAACAATTAGAAAAATAATAAAATAATTATCAAGCAACTAAATAATATTAAAAGGAAAAATTTATTATGAACTGATATTTTAATTTTAATAGTTTATTTTTTTTGTTAGGTAAAAAAATATTATAAAAAAAAATCATCAACCGGAATCTCTTCAATGAAATAATAAAATTTTCACGAATTAATCAATCAATCACATTTACACATGTGTAAGTCTTTCAGTTTTAGATAAAAGTAAAAGGATAACAAATTAATTCATTTTTGTATCATGAATTCAGATTATATGTCAATTATAGTAAAAATGTAAAAATATTACCAAATATAATATTATTTAGAGGTCTTTTATTGGGGTTTAATATTAATCTACTTATTTTTAAGTGTCAAATTTATTTAATATTTTTCTATAATTTATTTCAAAAAAAATTGTATAATAAACCCGCGTATACGCGGGGTCTAATCTAGTAACTATATATGTTGCATGTTTGCATGATGTTTTTTTCTATTATTACAATATCTAATGAATGTAAATTCTAATCAGTTTCGTATGTTTAAGGTGGAAAACGTCAAAAAAAAGTAATTACAACATAAATTAGTTGACGTTTTTTGTCACTTTTTCAGTAACTCATTAAAGTTACAAACATCGTTACTAACCATAAATTTGGATAACAAACAACTTTTATTTTTGGCATAATAAGATAACTACTAAGAAGAAAATTATATATATTTATACGAATGTAACAAGTGGTATGACTTTAGGTTTAGTATCCTTGTGTTTGGAGGTTTAGGAGAGTACCTCTAAAAAGGAACGACATCCTAGACTTAAAACATGTTCAAATCCACACTCATACAGTCATACTAATCCTATTACATCCTTGATAACGTTTTTAACCTCAAAATTAACCCTGAAATCACATAGTAACGTTTTTCTGAGGATATGTTTGACGAACTTTTAGCCACCATTAGCCTTTGTCTTTTTTTTTTTTTTTTTGAACATTTGAAGATATATTGATTTTCCATGAGAGTTACAAAAAGTCGAGCCTAAACTTTAGCCAAATAAGAACCTAAACCAAAAAACGGGGAGAGATTAAACATCACCCGAAAGCCTATTCTAATCAAGACCCCAAAAAGACAGGGCAAGATCAGCCAAAAAATGAGAACATTAAAAAGAGGATAAAACTCTCTCACTCTCAAACACACCATTTAACCACGACGGATGACAGGAAGTCACATAAAAGTGTAAGCGACCATCATTGGTGACACTTTGAGCAATGAGATTAGCTCCTCTATTTGTTTCTATTCCTCCAAACACCACTCTCCAATCAACCAATTCTGATAGTAACAGAAGTAACTCCGCCGCTTGAAATCCAAAGGATGGCCACGCTTGCGGACGATTCACCACACCAATAAGGACCACATCCTCCAACTCAAACACCACTCTTTGCATTCTATGGCTATTCATGCTCTCCATAGCCCAACACAAAGCCAAAAACGACCCTTCCACTGCAGATTTTAGATTCACAAAAGCTGTTCTACTGTGTAGTAACACAACCCCTTTTTCATCTCTTGTAACCCAGCTAGCACCAACCAATCTATTCCTTTTCGACCAGGATACTCCAACATTACATTTAACCCAGAACTCTGGTGGAGCTTTCTACGAACCACACCTACCAGCCTCTGTCCCTCATGCTTCTGCTCTAAGGCTTTTGGTTCCTCCTCAAGAACAATTTGCGCCAAAAACCATTCTTCATCATCACTTTTGATCTTTTCCATCAAACCTCTTGGATCAAAAGGATTCCCATCAAAGGATTAACAAGTTTCTGTTTTTCCATAATCTCCAAATAATCCATGGGAAGCTTCTTCTCAAGTCAAGTGGCCAATTAGTGTTCTTAAAATTAACCAACATATGGTGAATATTAGAATACAGCGAACCGTTTTCCAAACCAAAGGATGGGGAAAGAAATTCAGACAGAGCCCAAACCTGTCTCAAACATGCACGTGAAGATGATATGATTGATTGATTCTCCTTCTAACCCACTGTTGAGATAAGCTTGAAGAAAGCTTGAGTCACAAGTTGTTTAGGATTAGGAAAAGAGTCATATTTAGGAGTTATCTAAATATGTAAGTTATCCTATTCCTATTAGGAATGTGCCTAGCTATCTCTCTATATAAGAAGATGTCAAGATGTGACATAGCTTATGAGTTTTGAGAGAGCTTTAGTTTTGAGTTATTTTCTAAAGCAATAAAGAAAGGTTTTACAGATTTGATTTTGAGTGTTTGATTCAATAATTGGTATCAGAGCTTCTATTGAATTAAACATCTTGAAACACTATCGTGAGGGAAAGTTTTTCTTCACGATAAAGAGCTTCCAACGAAGGTGCGTCGAAGGCTCAAGTTCTTAAGATAGTTGATTGATCGAGTACATCGAGCAAACAGACATGTCTGGGGAATTGGCTGTTGTCCCGGAAAAGAAGAAAGGTGGCCCGTCCTCCATACAATGTCCAATGCTAAACTCGACCAATTACACTGTCTGGTCAATGAGAATGAAAGTTGTGCTCAAGGTACACAAAGTGTGGGATACTATTGAAACAGGATCGGAAGAAGGAGACAAGAACGATATGGCAAGAGCTCTCCTCTTTCAATCCATACCAGAAGCCCTAATCTTACAGGTCGGAAACCTTGACACTTCCAAGGCGGTGTGGGATGCCATCAAGGGGAGACATATAGGAGCAGAGAGGGTGAAGGAAGCTAGGTTACAAACTTTGTCTGCTGAGTTTGAAAGAATCAGGATGTCAGAAGAAGAATCAATTGATACGTTTGCTGGGAGGATCTCGGAATTAGCAACAAAGTCAGCAGAGCTAGGGCAAACTATTGATGAGCCAAAGATTGTTAAGAAATTTCTTGCAAGCTTACCTGACAAAAAGTTTATAACTATTGTTGCTTCTCTCGAACAAATTCTCAATCTCAACAAGACAAAGTTTGAAGACATCGTAGGGAGGTTAAAAGCTTACAAAGAAAGAGTTAATGGTGAAGAAGTACATCAAAACGATCAAGGAAAGCTCATGTATTCGAACATTGGACTCACAGAGCTACCAAGATGGATACGGACGTGGAGGTGGAAGAAATCAAGGCGGTCGTTTTGGTGGACAAGGAAGAGGACGTGGACGTGGAACTCCTCAACAGAGCAATAATGATAACCAAGGAAAGGAGAAAAGCAAGTTAATCTGTTTCAGATGTGACAAACCAGGCCATTATGCTTCTGTTTGTCCTGACAGATTGCTTAAGCTTAAACTCCAAGAGATCCAAGAGAAAGAAGAATATGATACTGAGACGGCTGATAAATTGATGGTTCATGAGGTTGTATAAATTGATGGTACTTGGACAATGGAGCAAGTAACCACATGACATGCAACCGCAACTACTTCTCGAAGATAGACGAGTCAGTCACAGGAAAAGTACGATTTGGTGATGACTCTCGAGTTGATATAAAGGGAAAAGGCTCAATTCTCTTTATAAGCAAAGACGGAGAGAGGAAGGTCTTGGCGGATGTCTACTATATACCAGACTTGAAGAGTAATATTATAAGTCTTGGTCAGGCCACAGAGTCAGGGTGTCAAGTTAGCATGAAGAAAGATGTGTTAACACTGCGAGATCGAGATGGAAACCTACTGGTGAAAGCAAACAGAGCCAAAAACAGATTATACAAGGTTTTCATGGAAGCTGAGAATACAAAATGCTTATCAATGGAGACACTAAACGATGCGACAAGGTGGCACGCAAGGCTAGGTCACATTGGACGGGATACAATGAAATCCATGGTGAGTAAAGGGATTGTCATTGGGATTCCACAAGTGACAATCAAGAAGGAGGCATGCTCTTCATGTTTACTTGGAAAGCAAGTTCGAAAAGTCTTTCCTCAAGCAACCACGTATCGAGCAGGAGGGATACTGGAGCTTATTCGTGGAGATCTTTGCGGTCCTATTACACCTCCTACACCAGCCCGGAATCGATATATATTTGTCTTGATCGATGACTACTCAAGGTACATGTGGTCGATTTTGTTGAAAGAGAAGAGTGATGCTTTCGACAAATTCAAGAAGTTCAAGAGTTTAATCGAGCAAGAGACAGGAGCTGCTATCAAAACATTCCGAACAGACAGAGGTGGTGAGTTCTTATCCCAAGAGTTTAAAAGTTTCTGTGATAATGCCGGAATCAAGAGGCACCTGACTGCACCATACTCGCCACAACAGAATGGGGTCGTTGAAAGGCGAAACAGAACACTGTTAGAGATGACCAGAAGCACAATGAAACACATGGGTGTACCAAACTACTTGTGGGGAGAAGCTGTGAGGCATGCCACATATCTCATTAACCGAGTCTCAACAAGAAGTCTTGTAGATCAGACACCTTATGAAGCTTTCAAGGGAAGAAAACCAAACGTAGATCACTTGCGAGTCTTCGGGTGTGTTGGATATGCCAAGGTAGAGACACCACATCTAAAGAAGCTAGATGATAGATCACGAGCTCTGGTGCATCTAGGAACTGAGCCGGGTTCCAAAGCTTATCGACTTCTTGATCCAACGAGCAGGAAGATAATCGTGAGCAGAGATGTTGTTTTTCAAGAAAATAAAAGATGGAAGTGGGATAACTCGAACGAAAGTGGAGATGAGTATTATGAGATGTTTGATAGCACCCTGGGAGAGTGGGAAGTAAAAGAAGCAGAGATGACATATACGGGCAGTGAGCAAGTTAAGGAAGTTTCATCGGGTGAAGAAACAGAGACTATAGTAGAAGACAGAGAAGCACAACCTGAACTCAGGAGATCGAGTCGTGAACGTTTTACTCCCGGCTACTTAAGTGATTACGTTCTGTTGGCAGACTTTGAGGGAGAACGTCTTCTACTGGCTTTAGACGAGGAACCATGGAATTACAGTGAAGCAAAGGAGCTACAAGTGTGGAGAGGTGCTTGTGGAGAGGAGATAGCATCGATAGAGAAGAATAAAACGTGGAGTCTAGTTACTCTTCCGTTTGGTGCTAAAGCAATAGGACTAAAGTGGGTTTTCAAAATCAAGAGAAATCAAGATGGAAGCATTAACAAGTACAAGTCGAGACTGGTGGCAAAGGGCTATGTACAAAGACATGGAGTTGATTTTGAAGAGGTTTTCGCTCCTGTAGCTAGGATCGAAACCATTCGGTTCATTATTGCTTTAGCTGCTTCACAAGGTTGGGAGGTACACCATCTTGACGTTAAGACAGCGTTTCTTCATGGAGAATTAAAGGAGGAAGTCTACGTCAGTCAACCCGATGGTTTTGTGATTAAAGGGAGCGAAGACAAGGTGTATAAACTACACAAGGCACTTTATGGATTGAAGCAAGCACCACGAGCATGGAATACTAAACTCAATCAGATCCTCAATGAATTGGGTTTTGTTAAGTGTTCAAAGGAGCCATCACTATACAGGAAGGTGGAGAAAGATAAGCTTCTTCTTGTAGCTGTGTATGTTGATGATTTGCTTGTCACAGGTTCTAGCTTGGATCTGATTTTGGAATTCAAGAGAGGAATGTCTAGCAAGTTTGAGATGAGTGATCTAGGAAGATTAACGTATTATCTCGGGATTGAGGTAAACCAACATGAAGATGGGATCACTCTGAAGCAAGAGAGATATGCGATGAAGATTCTTGAGGAAATCGGAATGCTAGAGTTAAATGCAGTCCACACACCCATGGACTCCAGTTTGAAGCTATCTAAGGCACAAGAAGAGAAGAGGATCGATGAAAAGATTTACAGAAGAAATATTGGATGCCTTAGATATCTCATTCATACACGACCGGACTTATCTTACTCTGTTGGAGTATTAAGCAGGTACATGCAAGAGCCAAGAGAATCACATGGAGCAGCATTAAAACAAGTTTTAAGGTACTTGTGTGGAACATTAAGTCATGGTCTCTGCTTTGGTCGTATGAAGCAAACTGGTTTGGTAGGCTATAGTGACAGCAGTCACAATGTGGATGTGGATGACGGCAAGAGTACAGGTGGTCATATTTTTTATCTCGATGAATGTCCAATAACGTGGTGCTCGCAGAAGCAAGAAACTGTGGCTTTGTCTTCGTGTGAGGCAGAATTCATGGCGGCTACCGAAGCTGCCAAACAGGCAATCTGGTTACAAGAACTACTAAGTGAGGTTACAGGAAAGGACTGTGAGAAAGTGGTGGTCCGAATCGATAACAAGTCCGCCATAGCACTCACGAAGAATCCTGTATTCCATGGAAGGAGCAAGCATATACACAGAAGGTATCACTTCATCTGTGAATGCGTTGAAAACGAACAGGTCGAGGTAGAACATGTTCCGGGAGACCAGCAGAAGGCTGACATTTTCACTAAGGCACTTGGGAAGATCAAGTTCAAGGAGATGAGAAATCTCATTGGGGTTCAAGATGTGTCCAAATGTGTTTTCAAGCTTAAGGGGGAGAATGTTGAGATAAGTTTGAAGAAAGCTTGAGTCACAAGTTGTTTAGGATTAGGAAAAAAGTCATATTTAGGAGTTATCTAAATATGTAAGTTATTCTATTTCTATTAGGAATGTGCCTAGCTATCTCTCTATATAAGAAGATGTCAAAATGTGACATAGTTTATGAGTTTTGAGAGAGCTTTAGTTTTGAGTTATTTTCTAAAGCAATAAAGAAAGGTTTTACGGATTTGGTTTTGAGTGTTTGATTCAATACCCACAACCCACATATCAGACATCTCTCATCCACTTTCATTCCTCTAGTGACTAATCTTTCAGCTACAAGAATAACTCTACAAAGCATTTTCCACAAGAAGGCTTGAATTCTTGGGTCTATCTTCAATTCCCAAATTTGCTGTCTTAGAAGATTTAAAGTAGGTTCCATAGCCGTTTCAGCCAGGATCTCCCCTTTATTGAGTTGACACGCCTTTGTCTATTCTGACGGTTTTAAAGTGAAATGAAGCTTTCAACCAAATTTTCACTACTTTCCGGATTAATGCCACGTGTTGCACAATTTATTGTCTCTTCACCCTACTTCTTTCAAACAATGTGCAATCAACTTTACACGTAGGCTTGACACCAATCAACTTTTGTTGTAACAAGAACATGTAGAATTTCTAAGGTTGACTTTTTATTTTTTTTCCCCTCAATTACAAATTAAGTATTTTGTGTTTATAGTTGTATGAATATAATGGGTTGTTGTATTAGTTCTAATCGAATAAATTTACCGCTCAGTTGATATAAAAATATTTATCTTGATAGGAAGTACATCTAGATTGAACTTCAAAATTAATTTAAATAATTTTTTTTTGCTTAATGTATTTGATCCGGTACATAAGTATCTTTTTCATTCACATGGTTCTACAGTTTTGTTAGGTTAAATCTTATGTTTGAGTTAAGCAAACAATGTAAAATTAATTTTCCAACAAAAAAATGATTTGTTTACCTTCATTTGTAAAAAAAAACAAAACAACAACAACAAAAGATATATGCTGGCTAATATTTTGTTGATTGTTTCAACTTTCAACTGTTTTTTCTTTTTCGTTTTGACCAACTTATGTAATTATATTTCTTCAGTTTTCATCTTGATTTGACAGTCTAATTGTTGAAAAAGTTCCCCTAAGAGTTGGTATCATGTCTATGCATTGCATACTATAAACGTCGGGTAAATGAAATTCACATCTTTATCTATAAACATTACAAATTATTTGTTTGTTAATACCAACTAACAATCCTGCTTTTATGGCCGCGTCACTTTCATTAATCTTGTAATAAACCCACTTTCATAATTATAAGAAATCCCAATTTAGGTTTAAGTGTTTAACTTGTTCCGCTAAGTTTCATACTGTTTTCACAGTGATCCCTTTTTGCAATGAAGTTGTTGCAAGCGTAAAACGTTTTTAACTTGGACGTTTTAAGATATACATCAATCACGATATATATCTTATGGCCAAAGAAGAAAGAAACCATGTAGATATATGAGTATAAGAATAATAAAAACCAATGACTATATTAAAACTATATACGAAATTACAAGTGAAACATTCACATCACTACTAAATATGAATGTTCATTATATACAGCAACGAAAGATGGTTTTGTAGAACGAACTGAAACAAAATCATAATGCATGGAAATATATGAAAGAGTTCATTCAAAGAGTAATAAGATCTCGTGGACTTTATTCTCCTTTTCTCACAGTCAATTTTGTAAAATTAAACTAATATTAACGTAAAGAGAGTGATAAGATGTTATTAATGGATTTTGCTTGGATCATTCAAAAACTACCTCAAAATGTGATTACTCCATTGCGTGTGTAATTTGTATCTACGTCTTAATCATTCACGCCCACTTTTACTTGCTCTTCTCCACTTCTTCACCTCATTCAAACTAAAAATTAAGATCTATCCATCCTCTTTTAACACTAAAGTTTTTGAAAAGAAAAAGTCTCTAGAGACTTATTACTCTGGTTTTGAGAAGATCTTACACATGTATCTATAGTCGGAGATGCCAACCAAAAAGGAACGAAACTCATCGTCATTGTCACTATCTTTAGGTATAATAAAGCTTCTCAATCCACTACTCCACAATTTTCTCACTTTTTGCGTGGGTGCGATAGTAGGGATCATTGTTCATTCTTCTCTAGAAATAATACTTTCACCTTATTCCCCAACCGTACAAAGTGTCTCTCAACTCTTCCTCGTAGCTTCTCTTCCTCCTCCTCTTCCTGCTTCTTCTCCTCTTTCTTCTCCTCCTCTTGCTTCTCCTCTTGCTCCTCCTCCGTCTACTTCTCCTTTATCTCAAAACAACCAGCTCGAAATGTTTCTGAGGCCACCGAAGAACATCATGCACGATATGGAAGAGAACGAGCTTTTTTGGAGAGCTTCAATGGAGCCCAAGATCAGAGATTACCCTTTTCCTCGAACCCCAAAGGTTGCTTTCATGTTCTTGACAAGGGGACCTTTACCTTTGGCTCCTCTATGGGAAAGGTTCTTTCGAGGCTATGAAGATCTTTTCACTATCTATGTTCACGTTAATCCCTCTTATAATGAGTTCATGCCCCAAGGTTCTGTGTTTTATGGCCGTCGCATTCCAAGCAAGGTCAGCTTCCTTTATACCATCTACTCTTATTTTTCCCTTCTCTCTTGTTTCTCTAACATTTTTTGGAGAAGAGACAATAACCTTTAACCTTATAAAAAACTATAATTAAGATATTGACCTTTTTTACTCAAAAATACATTTAAGAAAATAAACGGTAGAAAACGTGATATTTATGCTCATCTTACTTAAGTGGGAACAAAGTTGGTTCGACCGATATTAGTTGGTTTGTAGTAATCAACTAGATAAACATTTACGATCAAGATCTCAAATTTATTTTATAAACGCTAACAATAATTATATTAATGAAAATAATTTGTTCTTTTAAATAGTTTGGAGTAATACATATATTTTTCAATTAGTATTTTTTAATATATTTTTTTGGTCAACTGAATTTATTAGTTTTATGGCAAAAGAAAAATTACTGACTCAACAAAAAGGTACCATTATACATTTGTTTTAGTAACTAAGATGTTCTTGGCTTTAGGCCTGTTATCCCTTGTGGCGCACGAAAGGATTTGGTTCATGATAAATTTTGTAAATATTGAGAAGGAACTAGTTGTGACTAACGTCATTATCATTGATAAACGCATGCAGAGAGTTGATTGGGGACAAGCAAACATGGTAGAAGCAGAACGAAGGTTACTAGCAAACGCTCTATTAGACATGAACAACGAGCGCTTCATTCTTCTCTCCGAATCTTGCATCCCTCTCTTCAACTTCACCACCGTTTACTCTTACCTCATCAACTCCACTCAAACCCACGTCCACTCTTACGACCTCCCCTTTGGCCGCGTCCGCTACGACCGCCGCATGTATCCTCACATCCACATGCACCATTGGCGCAAAGGCTCTCAGTGGTTCGAGCTAGACCGATCCATGGCTCTTGAGATCGTCTCCGACACAGTCTACTGGCCCATCATGAAAGCTTACTCTCGCTGCCCTGACGAGCACTACGTCCCGACAATACTCAACTTGAGGCCGAGCCTCGGGTCACGTAACTCGAACCGATCTCTAACGTGGACTGACTGGGAGAACCGTAGGGCTCACCCGAGATTAATCCGTGTGTGGAACGTGAATGTGGAGTTCTTGATGTGGCTTAGGAGGTGTGACGAGGAGTGTTGTGAACACAATGGGGAGAATAAGACGAGGGTTTGCTTTCTCTTTGCTCGCAAGTTTTCGCCGAATACTTTGAAGAAGTTGCTCCGGTTTGCATCTACCGTCATGCATTTCTGATCTAGGTGTGAAAAGTTTATACTTGGATTTGTAAAGTTAATATGTAGTACTCTCAATTTGTTTTTTTTTCTTGTTTTTTTCATAAGCTTTTTCAAATTACAAATGCAGAATATACATACACGTGTACATTGTTTATGTATACAATAGTAATGGAGATTCCAAATCTTTGATTCATCAGTCAGTAATTAACTTTCACATTACAAAAATGAGTCAAATGCTTTTAGATTATACTTCCTATTATATTCAGCTCTAGTCAAACTTACATCCATGTATAAATGCTCTAATATAGTTAATTATTAAATGTTCTAACAATACTATCAATATTGTTTTTTAATGTTCAAATATTAAATTAAATATGTCACTTGTTACTATTATGAAATATCATATAATTTACCAAATTATTTTGATATTGTTACAAGAATAATGCATATTTTTATTTTACTAAACAAAACCAAATTAATATCCCAGTATTCAAATATATGAGGTTCATAATCGAATTATTTTATCAAAATTTAAATCACATAAATTTTACAACCGCCTATTTATTAAAATAAAATATCATTAAATAATTTCAATAACATTACTTCGTGTATAAAGCTAGTACGAACTTAGTTATCATTTGAAAAATTCAAATGGATGAGCAAGTCATGAATCAAATGGATGAACTTAGTTATCACCATTTGAATCAAATTTATCACTTGAACTTAGTTATTACCTAATCACACGAATTCAAATGAACTTAGTTATTTTTTTTTTTTACTTTTTTTTAATAATGGTGGAGATCCCAAGGCTTTCTAAGTTCAAAGATTAATCCAATGAGGCCTTGCATCTAGTTATACGTTTGAAAATGTTCCAAATTTAAAACATGACTAGGTGGCCAAGCAGATTTGAACCCAGAACTCTCCCATTTGGGAGTTACCACTAGGCGAAGACAACTTGGTTCTGTTAAATTTATTTTGGTGCTCATGATTTGTAAGAAAACTATTGTTTAAGTGTTAGATTTTTTTTTTTTTTGTTGTGTTTGAATATATGTGTCAACAAAAATAAAATTTTACCCTGACTGACTAGTGACGATCACCGGTTCTTCAAAACTTGAAGGGAAGCTTAATCAAAAACCATGTAGAAAGAAATAAATTGGCTTTACAGCCAAAAGAACTCGACTGTTATTGTTGAACCATTGGTGCCAGCACAAAAAAAAAAAATATTATTGGCGATTGAGGACAAAACGAGCTTTATTTATGGTGTTTTAGAAAAGTTCTTATTTCATTTTTTTTTTCTAACTTTCTATGCAATTGTTTGAACATATTTGATACATTATAACTATTTTATGAAATATATTTAATAATTTAGATTACTTTCAATAAGTTATTGACTAATATATATCAATGTACAAAACAAAATAAGCATTTTAATTTACATCTATTAGCCAAAAAAGACTTATGTAAGAAAACAGAAAGAGTTTTGTACAACATCAATGTACGACTATCAGAATTTGTATAATGATTATCTTAGGATATCGGGTTCGTCTTTTGGAACAAAGAATCGAATGATGTTTAGACAATTAACCAAGAATTAAAATCAAGAGTAAGAACTACGAATTTAGATCAGAAAATGAAGGTAAAATAAGTTATTGTACTCCACAACAGAAGTTAGTGAATTGCTTATATTTATATGTTTTTGAAACAGCACGAAGAATAATTATAGTTATAAAATATGTTATAAACCAAATGATAATTATGTTATAAAATATGTTATATATATAGGTTTTTTTTTTGGTGGGTGATGTGCAGAGCCGTGCTTAGGATTTTTAATACCATAGGCAAATTATAGGGAAATATTGTTTAGTTTTATTAGTTGTCTTCTACAAAAATACAATTTTTACTTTGTGAATAATACACACAAATTTATACAAAATTCCAGGCTTTGTTTATAGTAATATATGTAATTTAAAATATTAAGAATAAGTATATGTGAAGATATAATAGATAAATAGTAACTGGTAAAAAAAATTGTAAAAAAGTGTCAATGTGGTAAAAAAATGAAAATAAATATTTGAGTCTGAAAAATAAAGAAAGACGAGTTAAAAAGGTTAGAAAACATATATTAACTTTGAGATGAATGTGAACTGGGGCAAAAATATTGTAAAGCATAAACCACATGAAACAAAATATTTGTAGATATGCTTTCCTAATGTTTTTGCACAATTTGATGCCATAAGCAAAAGTTTCTTTTTTTTTTGTCATAGGCATGGCTCTGGTGATGTGGGAGACGAATATCTCCCAACTTTATTCATAGCAGAAAAAAAATTTAAACAATGCAAACGTTTCTAGAACACTCATATCCTATTACATTATCTTGTAGGATTGAGTCCACACTAATAGGAACTAAAGATTAACTATGAAAACTCAATAGAACTGTAGAAGTGTAGTTATCTAACCCATCAGCTATATAGGTTATAAAAAAAAGTTAAAGATACATTTTTCTTCTTCTAAACATTAGCTGCGACGACTTAGATAGAAAAAATACATATTTATATATATTATCGAGTCAAAGGATAAATTGAATATGTTGCAAAAATATGTTTTTTCTCTTTTGGTAATAAGTTAGTCTCATATATATTAAATATATATACATATATATTTTTTAGAGTCAAACAATTTATTAATTATGTTGCGAGAATTACTTTCCTCGTCTTTATTTTTTTACCTAGTTGAATCCAAATATTCTATTTTTTTCTTCTATATATATGTATATACATGTAGTAATTATTTCTCCATCAACTCAACTGTTTCTTCAAATCTTTCTTATCATATATATTTTGTGCAAATTTTCGAGAGAATAATGGCTGGAAATCTGGCTTTGGATTCTAACAAAAGCAAAGTTTTGAAAACAAATGGTGATATGTTCATCTTGCTGATCGAGCATGACAAAGCATTTGTCGCATCGCTCACTTCAATCCTTGAAAAGTTTTCATATAAAGGTAAAATTTATTTGATGCTATTTTTTTTTGTTTTTTTGTTTGTTTATCATTTCTATAAATTACTGATCATTTTTCCATTTACATATATATATATATATATTACAACTAAAAAAACAAAATTGTCAAAATTATAATATATAAATTCATATATGCATTTGTATATGTAAACAAAAAAAACAAACATGTCAAAACTATCAATATTGTGTTATTTTTTTGGCGTACTGTGAATAATTAAAACTCTAATAGTTTTTTGGGAAATTATATTCAACTAGATTAAGGCCCGCGTATACGCGGGTATATTTTAAGATTTTATAATAAAAGCATGGAAAATATTAAACAAAATTTGATCATTTTTAAACGTAAACAAAATAATATTGAAAACCCGATAAAAAATATTTAAATAAAATAAGATTGGTAATACTTTTACATTTTTATTGTAATTGATTTTTCTTTTGAATTTATGATATGACAAAATGAATTAATTTGTTTTACTATTATTTTTATCCAATACAGAAAGACTTACACATGTCTAAATCTGATCAACTGATTAATTAATCAAACTTTTATTATTCCATTCAAGAGATTTTAATTGATGAAATCTTTATTTCAATTTTTTTACCTAACAAAAATTGAAAATCAAACTATTTAAAATTAGAATATCAATTATAATTTTTTAATATTAGTTAATTGCTTGATAATTATTTTGTTAGTTTTCTATTTATATTTTTTCTTTCTCAATTTTGTTTTTGCCTCAGACCATTATAAATACTATATATTGGTATTTTTCCTTTTCGGATTTTTTTCCTTTTCTTAATAGATGTAACAAAAGAATTTAAATTATTTGTTTCCTGTTTTTTTATTACTTTTAATGGATATTATTTTTTTCATTTTAATTATTTGTTATCTGTTTTTCTAATTTTTAGTTAGTCTTATACATATTAATTATTATTTTTATTCCATGACACATGTTACGATCTTCATACTTCCAGAATTTTTTTTTTCTAAAACACATGTCGCAATTTTGTCAGTTATAAAAATCCTATGTATCGCAAAACTTTCAAAAACATGATTTTTAAATTGGAGAAATATAATCAAAGGGATTTGATGAATTTGTTTTGATGAATTTATGATTGAGAAACTTGACTCTCTTTTATAGGGTTCAAGTAACCTATTACATGCAGTTATAGGAAATTTAGTTTACATAACATATTCCATGTACAAATAGGATTTTATTTATTACATTATTTTGATTTTATTATTTGTTTGGATAATATTAATTTGATGAATGGAAACCTTTCTCTATTAGGATATGACAAATATATTTTTATTTCTTTTAACTGTAATGGATTAATTTTTTAAAAAAATTTCCTTTATCTAAATTTTTTATTATTATTTTTTTTTTTTTTTTCTCTAAGACATGTGTCACGATCTTAACGGACGTAACATTAAAAGTGACACATGTCGCGATCTTATAAATTATAAAAATCCTATGTGTCGCAACCACGTCGTGCGCATCCAACTTTATATAATAAAAAATTGATGAATGGGAAACCTTTTTCTGTTTGGATATAACAAATATTATTTTTTCCTTTTTGATATAATATATTAAATTAAATTTCGTTTTTTTAATTAACATTTTTCTGGAATTTTTTTTTTTAAGTTCTCTTTTTTCCTAAGACACATGTCACGATCTTAACGGACATAAACTTAAAAGTGACACATGTCGCGATCCTGAATTTTATAAAAATCCTACGTGTCGCAACCACGTCGTGCGCATCCAGCTTTATATAATAAAATAATCATATTGAGATTATGGATTTAATGTTTGTATTTTTAATATTTGGGGTTTAGGATTTCAAATTTTTGGCTTTAAAAAAACGAACTATACTATTTTGTTTTATACAGTGTAGTCTTAAGGGTAATTTAGTGTAGAAAGTTTGGCTATGGTTAGTTTCTTTATTTTGCTTTTGCTATGGCTATATTCTTAATTGTTGTGCTCAATATGATTATTAAGCAAATTAACCCTAGTTTTTTTCTACAACTTTTAGAAATTTTAAATAACTAGTATTTAAATTGATATTTTCAGTGATTAGCGCGAATGAGGTTAGTGAAGCGATATTAGTGATCGAAAAGCATAAGGAGATTGGATTTGTCTTCACCAACATTGAAGTGCCTGGCATAGATTCATATTTATTCCACAAGTCTTTGATTCCGAGAAACATTCCTCTCATATGTAAGCCAATTTTAACATATTTTCATTCAGATTACTTTTTTTGTTTGCCTTTCTAGTTAAACAAAGTTTAATTTCTTTTTGTTTGTTTGTTTTACTCGTTAATAGTAATAAGTCCGGAGATAAAGGCGAATGAACCATCAGTTTTTCTGATAAGAAGTGCATGCTATTTTCTGAAGAAACCAGTTGATGAAAATGACATCAATCACCTATGGCAGCGTGTGTTACTTAAGAAAACCCAAGAGTTGGCAATAACCAACGTAGCTAAAAAGAAAGAGGACGATAGAAAGGTGATTGAAGCTTTCAGAAAAACTATTAAGAGGCAGAGAACTGGTCAAGCATCTCTCCTCCTAGGAAACAGACCATTGATGGAGACATTCAAAGCTTCTCAAACGTACCCAAAGAGAGCAAGTGTAACAAATGCTGAATGGAGAACCAAACCGGTGTGTCCCATTGCAACAGAGACTAAGAGAAGGGACGAGAAGAGAGTGGAGGGTAATGTTGGGAGACCTAGGAGTTTATGGACTCAAGAACGTCACATGAAGTTTTTGTCTGCTCTCTCTATTTTAGGTGACAAAGGTAATTAAGATTTCTATTTAATTGTTAACCATTGCTTATTTATTATTATTTTTATTATTATTTACTTATAATCATTAATCCTTCAGATTCTCATCCCAAATCTATTTTGAGTATTATGGAAGACCAAGATCTAACTCAACGTCAAGTTGGTAGCCACCTCCAGGTTCGCATGCATATATATTTCTTTTTCTACAAATAAACTGTTGTGATCTTATGATAGCCTTATAATAACATTTTCATCATTTTTTTTTGTTCAGAAATACAAATCTCAAGTTGATCGACTAAATCTTTCATTGTCAAGGAAGGAATGGAGATCAACAAACACAACATTTGAGTACCCGTCAGGCTATGCATATCCTTTCAATGCATCCAACTTAGCCAAGAATTTATCAGGTATATATATTCTCTAAAAATAAAATTATCTTTTTCATCATCCATTACTCATTATAATTTTGATTAATTTATATATATATTGTTCACAATTCTATTAGTTTTAACATATTTGTGTCAATATTTTTTTTATGCAGCTTCTGAAACCAATACAAACCTAATGGCTTGGCTTTCTTCTGGTTCGATGGTCCAAAATGATTTCATTCACTCTGAAACCAATGTGGCCATCTCTCAAACCAATATAAACCAAACGGGTAATACTTATTTTGGAGAAAGTTCAAATGTTCCTCAAGATATGGTTTCAAATAATACTGATAGTAGCCATATGAGTTTGGTCCCTTGGGGACCAAGTTATGGGAACTATCCTGAAACTAACATGCCCGTTCTTGAAACCACCAACATAAACCATATGAGTTGGATTTCTTCTGAAGAAAGTCATGCTCTTCCTCTGAATGTTGTTTCCTCCGAAGCTAATACCACTCAAGCAATTGTTCCAATAACTTCTGGTGGTGCTCTGGATGATGATCTCATTGTTCCAATTGAAGATATGATTTCATTTGACAGTGAGATGGATATGCTGCCTTTGTTGGAAGATTATGGTTCTTCAGAGGTAAATATTAATCCTTTGTTCACAAATTTTTTGAGCAATGATCTTACCTTTAATACTCAAATGGACTCGATCTTTAACACAAGTGTGGAGGGACACAATCAGAACCAAAGAGAAGAGAGAGGAGATAATATTGGTGATGATGTTAATGATGAGTCCATGGATTGGATCAACCATGTACTCAATGATGATGTGTAACATTTTCCTTGTTTTGTAAACTTTTGTTTTTCTTTTTTTTTTTGGGTTTTATACATGTTTGTAACCTTTTTATTCTTGTTTTCTTGTATTGAACATTATACAGTATGTAACCTTTTTATATCAATAACAATGGTTTTCTCCAAAACTTCATAAACTCCAAACCTTCATATACTCCAATTTTTTTTTGTATTTTGAAAATTAGAGATTTCGAATTATTACGTCATATATGAACTAAAAAAAATAGAGAAATTTGATTTTCCTCGAAAACAATTTTATTTTATTTTATTTTTGACTTCTCCTTGAAAGTGGAAGCTCTTGTTTCATTTTTCTTCCTCGATCTTCTTCTTCCTCTTATTTGGTGAGCTTATAGATCCTCGTTTCTGGTTATCTTGTTCATCACTTCGTTCCGAGGTTTAAATTCCAGAAATTCATCCAATTCCTCGGTCGAAGATACCTGAATTCGTATTGTTCTAGCTCCGCCGCTACTGGATCTGCGAATTCCGTTTGAATTTCCATTTCCCAGAAATTGATTCGAATTTGATATACGTTGGAAGATTTGCTCGTCGGAGGTGTGAGAGAGAAGTCGGAGGATGAGCTCGAAAAAGGTGGAAGGGTCGTCTTCTCCGGCGACTCGACGGGACCCGTACGAGGTACTCTCTGTAACAAGGGACGCAAATGATCAGGAAATCAAATCCGCTTACCGAAAATTAGCTCTCAAGTAAGCTTTCTTCACTAATTCGATTCATAATCACAGTAAAAGGATCTGAGCAATTTCTTAGGATTGGTGCTATTTGAATTCCATGTTTTAGATACCTTAAAATGCATTCACACTGTCAATTTGATTCCCACTGGCTTTGATTGTGAAGAATCTATCCTTATTCTATCTTCGTGCTTTTTGAATCTAAACAATGGAATAGGTATCATCCGGATAAGAATGCAAACAATCCTGATGCTTCAGAGCTTTTCAAGGAAGTTGCATATTCATATAGCATTTTGTCTGACCCAGAAAAGAGAAGGCAATATGACAATGCAGGATTTGAGGTGAATGCTTTGTTTCTTTGTCAAGAACTCTGTTCGTCTCTCAAAACACATTCTTGTAGCTTCAAAAGGAGTTGTTTTCGTGATGTTAGGCTCTCGATGCTGATGGAATGGAGATGGAAATTGACTTGTCAAACCTCGGGACTGTGAATACCATGTTTGCTGCATTGTTCAGGTCAAATTAGTTAACTTTCTGGAGCAAGAAAGCAGATCTTCTTTATTAACCTTTTAATCTTCTTGTGAATATTCAGCAAACTAGGTGTGCCTATTAAGACTACTGTATCTGCGAATGTTCTTGAAGAGGCTATGAATGGAACTGTTACAGTTAGGCCTCTTCCTATTGGAGCATCAGTTAGTGGGAAGGTGTGAACTCAGATTCCACGAGTTTTTTTTTGCTTACAACTTTTCCTTGTGTATTTGGGATTGAAGTTATGCAATATCTCGTATCAGGTTGATAAGCAATGCGCTCACTTTTTCGGTGTTACGATAAGTGAGCAACAAGCTGAACCAGGGGTTGTCGTTAGAGTAACATCAACAACACAAAGTAAATTTAAGGTATGTTTGTAATGCCATTACTGACCATCCTGATAGTGCTTAGTGGAATTCACTGCATGCTCTTTCCTTGTCCTTTGCTACTAACTTGTAAGTGTATTCACTTAATAAACGCTACAACTAACTTCTGAATCTGTCTATCTCCAGTTACTTTATTTTGAGCAAGATTCAAGTGGCGGTTATGGATTGGCCTTACAGGTACAAATGAATATTGCTCGTATCATTACCATGTTCTTGAATTGAGAGAAAAGGCACAGCGTTCTTGATTTTGTTTTAGCTAGTTCTTAAAATCGGTTTCCTTTTTTTCTCATGGTGATAATATTGATCGTGTAGTACTAAAAGAATATTGTTCTTAGTATTACACTATTCCCGAACCGTCTTTAGATGAGAAAAGAGGCACGTTGTTCTTGGTTTTCGTTTGTATTACCTGGGAAAAGTTTCAGCTTAAAAGTTCCCGTTTTTCTCATAGTGATTCCATTTCTAACTTGTTCTTGCAGGAAGAGAGTGAGAAAACCGGCAAGGTGACGTCAGCTGGCATGTATTTCTTACATTTTCAAGTGTACAGAATGGATTCAACTGTCAATGCGGTATGCAAGTTCTAATATTTTTTCTTTACGTAATTAGCTGAAGTCTTAGAGGTATTAAAGCAATCTACATTGTGGTCATTGTGCAGTTAGCTGTAGCCAAAGACCCTGAATCTGCTTTCTTCAAGCGACTGGAAGGTCTTCAACCGTGTGAGGTTTCAGAATTGAAAGCTGGCACTCATATATTTGCAGTTTATGGTATGAATTATTACTCTCTCTTTTTTTACGATATTCAAAAGCATGTTTTGAGACCTTAGTTTAACTGGTCTCTAGTTACTTTCTAGGCGATAACTTCTTCAAGACTGCCTCCTACACGATTGAGGCACTCTGTGCCAAAACATACGAGGATACAACAGAGAAGCTGAAGGAGATCGAAGCTCAAATCTTACGAAAGAGAAACGAGCTGCGGCAGTTTGAAACAGAGTACCGAAAAGTAAATTTTCTACTTATTCAAAACTCAATCATTGTTTAGAGAGACATAATCTGATTGCTTGCTAATATTTTTTTCTTGCAAGGCTTTGGCTCGCTTTCAAGAAGTTACCGACAGATATACCAAAGAGAAGCAAACTGTGCGTTGATGAATCTCTTAATTTCTTACTGCATTTACTTGCTTTGAGTATGTACAAGTGTTTGACTTGGGATATGATGTTGAAGGTGGAGGAGTTATTGAAGAACCGAGATACAATCCATTCGTCGTTCTCTGTCGTGAAGACACAAAGCAGCGGCAACAACTTGAGCAATGGGAGTAGCAGCAAAGCTCAGGGAGAGGAATCGAAAGGCGATGGTGATAGTGTGGGAGGAGGAGAAGAAGGCGGATCAGAGAGTAGAGACAAATCTAAGAGGAAATGGTTCAACTTGAACCTTAAAGGATCTGATAAGAAGCTTGGTTGATCGAAAAAAAAGCCGATTTGTTTTCGGTTCATTGGTTCATTCGTTAGATGAGAACCGACTCGGTTACTGTTTATTGCTGTATGGTTCTGTAGGCATATATATATGTTCATCGCAATGGTTTGAAAGAGAGAGAGAAAGAGCTGCAAAAAGTGTATTGAAATGTAATTGCATGTGCATCATTGATTCATTTGTTTGTTATATTTTACATATCAACAGAACAAGATTCTTTCACTCGGAGCTGTTTTTAAATTGTTGAAAGTTGAAACGTAGGATTACTACTTAGAGGGAGCACAAACCATACAAAGTACAAACACTTAAGATTCTACTACTTAGAGGGAGTTCAAACCATTTTACATAAGAAACTTTGAAGCTAACCCCACAAAAAACAAAAAGCTAATAAGTCTTTTACTGAATCACTAGCCATAAGTTGTGCTCAGTTGATGACAATCTTACACCCTACAGACTTTCTTGGAATATTTCTTACTTTCCTGACGATGTTACCAAAACTCTCATCTAAAACCAACTCCTTGAGGACAGCACAATGCTCCAAAAAGTATGTTGCTAATGTCATCCGGCTTGCTGTCCATCTTGTAAACTGTGTATGAAGCTTAACAAACTTGAGAGATGATGCAAAACATTGAGGCACATATGAGAGTTGGCTAGGCTTTATCTCTATGAAGGAGTCAAATTCCTGTAACACAACATACACAAAGAAAGAGATAATTAAGTTTTTCTGGGATGTGAAATTTCCATGAGAATATTATTAAAGCAAATAAGACGCACCAAGACAAGTGAGTGTAGACTCGGACAACAACCAAGAAACGTTGGCAGAAATTCCAAAGATGATCCATGGAACGAAGCATGTAACCAAGACAAGTTACTAAATTGAGGTAACGGTTCCAGTTTTGAGTAATCATCAATGACCTGTTCCAGAGAAATGTCACAATCATGCATTTTGTATAAGTATAATGAAGTTATTGAATAAAACCATGTGCGTGTGTACCTTAAGAGTAGCATAAGAGACGTCCATGCCACTAACTTCAGATAACGCCGTGAGGAAATTACCGACCACAGTTCTCTCGGAAGAACCATCATCATGATCCTCATCTAGGTCCAGTAAATAACCACGCTCCATATCAAAACTAACATCAACTTTCACCACAGCAGATGGACCAATTCTCAAGACGAAGCTCTTAGACAAGTGATCACGAAGACTCATATGCTCAAGCCCCGGAGCATCAATCTCAACAGCATGGTCATCGATAACTTCATCTTCAAAACGTTTTATCTCCAAAGTCAATATCTTCAGGGATTGTGATCGCACACAGGTAAGATCAGAGAGGTCATATGGGTCCCTGATTATAGACAACTTTTCTAGCACCGGACAGCTAGGTATGAGCATCTGCAAGATCAACGAGCCATCACACCTAACCATCTCTAAATGCATTGTCTTGAGACAGGGCAGCGAAACAACAGATCCTGGTTCGAGATAACCCAAGATTACATGATAGAGAGTTAAGTTGACTAATGTCCTGCATGAATAAAGCGAGAGAGGCATACAGAGGAGCTCATTATCATCCGACATAATCTCGACATGTAGATGACGAATTCCACGACGTACAACATCATCAATCCATGACTCGAACAGACTATCATCATCTGACTGAAATTCCTCAAAATCCTCAAACGAACAAACCAATTTCAATCTCTTTAGGTCTAGCTTTTCATCTGAACCTAGAAACCTATCCATAAATTCCACAAAATCAAAGTCGCCATCGAATTGAGTGGAGTTCAAGTCTAAAGCAGGAACCTGTGACCAGATTCTCCTCCACCGGTTGGATAAAACGCTGCTTCGAACTGAATCTTTCGTCGAGAGATAGGAGAGTATGTGACACAGCAACGGATCTGGTAAATCGTTTATCCGACTTCTTCTTTCGTCTGACTTCTTTTGTTTCCCTCTCACATCCATGTGTTGTACCGTAAAAACTTTGAAAACCACCTTCTGATTCGATTCTCCGACGAAATCGCACCGAGAACTTCAATTGCCAAAAAAGGTTATGGAGGGTTAAATTTGCAATTTTCGTAAATAGAGGGTTGATTTGAGAAAATGATGAAAGTGTAAGGGCTTCGTTTGGCAATTTTCGCTAGAAAACAGAGGACAAAAATTGGGACTCCTCTTCCCCAGAAGGCCTTGTTTCGTGACTTTCGTTCTTCTTCGTTCTTTACACAATCTTCTTCTTCTTCCGTCGTCTTCCTTATCTGATTAGATCCTCGTTTTCTCGTTTCATGGTGAATTGAAATTCGTGCGATTCCTTGGTTGAATAGAATCGTCCTAGGTCCGATTTCGGTGTTTTTGATCTGCAAATTTTCCGTTTTGAAATCGGAGAAACAGATTTGTGATTGAAATTAAAAGCATAGCGAAGATTTGGTCGGAGGAGGGGAGAGAGAGAAAGAGACGGAGAGGGAGGATGAGCTCGAAAAAGGTGGAAGGGTCGTCTTCTCCGGCGACTCGACGGGACCCGTACGAGGTGCTTTCTGTAGCGAGGGACGCGAATGATCAGGAAATCAAATCCGCTTACAGAAAATTAGCTCTCAAGTAAGCTTCTTCACTAAATTTCGCATTGCAAATATTTATCTGATTCCTCCTCTCAGAAAGATCTAAGTTTTTTTCTTCCCTTCATGCCTTAAACTACAATTCTTATGAACATTAGGGTCGCTAGAGAGCTAAATTTAGGCATTAAAAGTTTGCAGATTCTGGAATTGGTTTAGGATCTTTGTTTGTGTGTTGGAGACTTCTCTCGTTAATTCAAGTCTCTTCTATGTTGTGATTCTTTGATGAATTGTACGAAGAAGAAGATTTGCGGTTTTCAATCTTATTCAGTAAAATGCATCAATCCTATCACTGTCTTTGATATCCTAAGAATCTATATTATGCTTTTGGCGTTTTGATCATGGTTGTGATACGATTAGTGGTTTTTGGGGTTTTAATGGTTTTCATTTTTACAATTAGATTACGGTTTTGTTAATTTCCTTTTGATTATGTTAAGTCGGTTTTGTATGAGAAGGCAACTTCCAAGAATTAACCTTAAAGCTCCAAAGCGAGTTTAGGGTTAAGAGGAAGCTTTAGCTAATTCTCTCTTAGATCTCTTATTCTCGGCTTTGGCTCATATCAGCTTTGTCTTCTTGGATTTGGATTCTGCTTTACATTTAGTTTCCTTTGTTTGGATTTATACGATGCGGCGTAGGTATCATCCGGACAAGAATGCCAACAATCCTGAAGCTTCTGACCTTTTCAAGGAAGTTGCGTTTTCGTATAGCATTTTGTCTGATCCGGAGAAGAGACGGCAATACGACAATGCAGGATTTGAGGTGATTACTTGTTTCATTGTGTTGAAACCATCCAATAAGTGAGCATTGGTCATTTCTTGTTGTCAAGTATACACTCTACTAAGAGTTGTTTTCGTGATTTTAGGCGATTGATGCTGATGGAATGGAGATGGAAATTGACTTGTCGAACCTCGGAACCGTAAATACTATGTTTGCTGCATTATTCAGGTTAAGTTTTTTTTACCTTTTTTTTCCTGATTCTCAAATCGGTTTTGAATCTACTGTATTAACCTTTTGTTCTCCTTATGATGTCAACATTCAGCAAACTAGGTGTGCCTATCAAAACTTCTGTATCTGCCAATGTTCTTGAAGAGGCTATGAGTGGAACTGTTACAGTTAGGCCTCTTCCCATTGGAGCATCAGTTAGTGGGAAGGTGTGAAATCAGACTTTCTTCTTTTAACTCATTTCGTTTTGTATCTGGAATTGAAGTTTATATAATATCTCATATCAGGTAGATAAGCAATGCGCTCACTTTTTTGGAGTTACGATAAGCGAACAGCAAGCTGAGTCAGGGGTTGTTGTTAGAGTGACATCAACAGCACAAAGTAAATTTAAGGTATGCTCTGAAATGCCCTTTGTTACTAACTTGAAAGTTGTTTTCACTTTTCACCAGTGGCTAACTTTAATATCTGTCTATCTGCAGTTACTTTATTTTGAGCAAGATTCAAGTGGCGGCTATGGATTGGCCTTGCAGGTACAAATGAATATTACTCTGTTATTGAAGTGACCTTAGATGAGAAAAAAGACATAGTGTTCTTGATTTTCTTTTAGCTAGTTCTTAAAATCGGTTTCAGTTTTTCTCATGGTGATTCTTTAACAGCACCAAGCTTTCTATTTGATCATGCAGGAAGAGAGTGAGAAAACAGGAAAGGTAACATCAGCTGGCATGTATTTCTTGCATTTTCAAGTATACCGAATGGATTCGACTGTCAATGCGGTATGCAAGTTCTGAACTTTTGTTCTTTTCATAACTAGACGGAATCTTAGGATATGCAGAGGTCTTAATGCAATCATCGTTGTGGTTAATGTACAGTTAGCTGCAGCCAAGGACCCTGAGTCTGCTTTCTTCAAGCGGCTGGAAGGTCTTCAACCTTGTGAGGTTTCGGAACTGAAAGCTGGCACTCATATATTTGCAGTTTACGGTATGGAATTATTACTCTCTTTTCGCAGTAGCGGGAACTTTTTTTGAGACCTTAGTTTAACTGTCTCTGGTTACTTTTCAGGTGATAACTTCTTTAAGACTGCCTCCTACACGATCGAGGCACTCTGTGCCAAGACTTATGAAGATACAACAGAGAAGTTGAAGGAGATTGAAGCTCAGATTCTAAGAAAGAGAAACGAGTTACGGCAGTTTGAAACAGAGTACCGAAAAGTAAATTTTCTACTATCGAGAGCTCATTCAGTAAATTAGGGAGACATGTAACCTGATGAAATTGCTGTGTGTTTGCAGGCTTTGGCGCGCTTTCAAGAAGTCACCAACAGATATACACAGGAGAAGCAAACTGTACGTTGATGAATCTCTTATCTTCTTATTGCAGCTTATTCTTTATTGCATTTTTTGCTGTCTGATATACGGATGAACAATCTTAAAGTGTTTGATTTGTCTTTTCTATGGATGATGGTGAAGGTGGATGAGCTGCTAAAGCAACGTGATACAATCCATTCGTCCTTCTCTGTCGTGAAGACACCAAGCGGCAACAACATGAGCAATGGAAGTAGCAGCAAAGCTCAGGGAGAGGAATCAAAAGGCGATGGGGATAGTGCGGGAGAAGAAGGTGGATCAGAGAGTAAAGACAGATCCAAAAGGAAATGGTTCAACTTGAACATAAAAGGATCTGATAAGAAACTTGGTTAAGTTAACCATTTGTTCCTATGTCGCCATCTCAAATCTCCCCCGGTATTTTGTTCATTCGTTTGGGAACTAAACCGTCGTCAATGGTTTTCTCTATGTGTGGTTCTTTAGGCAAATATGTTCATTGGAATGGTCCATAAGCTGTTTTATTGCAGAAAGGATTGTTGTGGTCATAGGAAAGTATTTGAGCTCTTTTGATATTATATGCAACATTGATTCATTATAAGTTTTTGAAGTGACATCTCTCTGAGCCATATATCCTAAAGCAAGAATAGCTTTCCTGCAAAATAACATACAATTGAATACATTCGACCGATTCAAAACGAGTTTATTATTCGAATTTATAAAATATTTTATTTTGTATGTGTTTTTAGTGGATGGACAAATGGATTGATCGTGAAACATTCATTCAATCAAAGTAAATGAAAGTCGGGGCTAAATGCGTTTTATACTTCTCAGACTTTGGTCTTTATGCGTGTGCATGAAGTTACACCTTTTTCGTATTAGAAATGTTTTTTTTTTTATGTTTATTGTAATGTCAAATGACTAGATTTCAACTAACATCGTCGAGAAGTAGTAAGGATGTCAAATTATATAAAAATAAATCAAGGCAGAAAGTAAGACGATTAATTGGGTTATGTGGAGTATTATTAAACAAACAAAAAAAGGACCGACCATAAACCAGTTTTGACTTTTGAAGCCATTGGATTAACAACATCAAAACGGATTTGATGGGGGTGATCAAGTTTTCTGTAGTGCAGTAGCTAGAGGTTAACTATATGGGTCTATATAGAAAAAGACTGCAAACTAGCTTTTTTTTTCCTTAAATAAACGAAGAGGTTTTGAGCTGAAACTTGACTAATTCATTAGAGAAACTGTAATCGTCAAATACCCTACCAAATTATTTAATAGCTCCTAAACATTGTAATATATTTAGTGATAGTTGAACTCAGAAAGAGTGAATTTACATTTTGTATTCAAGTCTTTTATCACTAGATCATAATCATTTGGTTTTTGCACACTGATTTTAAAAATAAATATGAACAAACAAATGATTGAGACAAAATATGAATGGATTGGATCCTTAGTCAGACGATTCCAATATCTATCCAGAAAATACTAATTTCAGAAATGAGAGAGTATAATCATTTTCGATAAGTAATAAAATTCGTTTGCACTCGATACTTCTTCATCTTTTACACAAAGCCTAAGAAATTTTTCTTCTTTGTAATTTAAAGAGAGCTTTCCATTGCTTCCTCGATGTGAGGCATAAAACGTGGCTGTGTATTATTAACAAAAAAAAAATGTGACTGCTTAAATCTGGAAATCACGGATCAATGGCACCATAATATACTTAAGTAAATGCTAAAGCACATGTATAAAGGCTTTACCAGAGAACATTGCAGAAATAAGCAGTATAATATAATTACCTATACATAATTGGAGTATTTGCATAGAACTTTTAGAGACAATTTTTTTTTTTTTTTAATAAAATAAGTTCAAGTTTTTTTTTCTATTGCGTAAAACAGTTCTGTTCTTCTTTTTCAAGTCCGTAGCAGATGCTCCCTAGCCTAATATTATAATTTTCTCAACTTTCCTAGCGAATATTAATTCGGCATTAAGAGTTTAGATGTATGTGTGTGTGCATGTTAATGTAACCACTTGACGTGTCCCACTTCGATTAATTTGTAACCTAAAGCCCTTCTGCTTTAAGAAAAGAGAAGTTTAG